TAAATACAGGTGAGGGAGAATCTAATCACACACACACACACACACACACACACAGGTGAAAACATTAGACAATCAGTGAGACCACAAACACAGGAAGTAAAACCGGACAACGATACTGGAGGCAGGCGTCTACAAACTAAAACAGGAAACAGTCAAAACAAACACACACACCCCCCACACCAGAACCGTGATAATTATCTACAATTCCATTTAATTCATACCATGGTTTGGTGACAAGATGTGAATATTATGGGTCTTTCACATTCAAAACTGATTGAGATCAGTCTAGCGTTGTTAGGGAAAAGTCGTGGGATTGATGTTTATGCAGCACTTCAAACAGCAGACAGACTTATTAGCAAAGAGCTATTAAACTGGGTATCTGTATGTGCATTCCAACAGAGCAGGTGGTGCAATACAAATAGTGGGAAGGCAACAGCCAAACCTAAACCTGGACTAAAGTTGAGTTCACCGAACTCTAAAACTATTGTGGATCAAATAGTTTTTTTTGTTGTTTTCCCACTTTATAAACAAACAGGCACCTTTGTAATGTTACATAAACCTAAAATAAAATAAATGAAGTGGATTTAATGAAAAAATACAATGAAAGTAACTTAAGAATTTTAAGGCACTATTGTTTTCCAGCTTTTTCAATGACTGAAAAAAAAAACTTTGAATCATTATTATTATCATTATCATTATTATCATTAATAAATGTGTTAAAACTTGGGGCAGCTTTAAAAAATCTACACTTGTGAATATAAATTGTTGCTATTGTTGGACCGTGACTTTTTAAATTATGTGTAGTCCTTGGTCCTGCGTGTTCTTTCATGAAGCAATAGGAGAAGATGTTTTTGATCCAAGTTAATCAGTTTTATTACAAGTAAAAATAAAGCTTACAGAACTCCGGGTCGATCTTCCTTTCTCTGACAAACAACAAGCTGTATCAGTTCATGAAGTTTGACTGGCTATCTCTCCCTGACCCAGTGTTTTAGTATACATCGTCATGACATAAAACAATAAAACAAAAGTGTAGGTCAGTCCATGATTGGCCCAAGTCCTCTGACCCCAATGTTTGTCCTCTGACTCCACGAATCGCCATGCTGTTGCTAGGCAGATTACGAGTGTAGTTCCTGAAATGAGATATCTTGGAGAAGAGATGTTTTGTTACTACATTCCAAACCACCCCTCACCCATTGTTCAAGTGTCCTTAACTGATCATTCAGAGACCCCCTCTTTCTGCACCGCTCCAAAAAACACAAACATCAGGTCTAGTTTAATAAATGATAAACCAACCTTTAAACTTCTACCTATAAAATACATCAGAGATCAATATAAGAAAAACACAATAATTTTGGTTACCCTGAGTAATACAAAAATCATACTATCATAATCTCTCACTATAATGAAAATATTATTACACAAGAACTCAATGTCTTTGTTTTCCATAAACCAACCATACTTAACATTGTGGTAATCAAACACAGGAATTACATTCTTTCTACCTAACCAATAATAGATTCCCAGTCCCAGAACAATTGTAATAACATTACACCTATAGAAAAAATGACTGACAAAACGTACGTACATTGCAATGGAAATTAAATCTCACTCTTTGTTTTAATTTTTATACCTGGCATGCTCAGCAGCCTGGCATAGAGTACCATGTTTGCCAGCCAGATTATACTTTAACAAGAGAGTTTTATATTTTTTTATTTTACACAGTTTTTGTGCTTACACACAAAATCTTTACATGTCACATGAAGCCTCACACTCAAAGATCAAAACCTCCCCTCAGATCTCCAAAACCATTAGCTATTTCACAGCCTTTCACTCAGTTTTCAATTGCATAAAACACTTTTTCCCAAAACACTACACACAATTATCTACCCAAGACACAAAAATCTAACAAGAATTGCCTTGTTTTCCTTTTCAGGTTACCCCCGGGATTCTCCAAGTAAAATTTAAGACTTTTTAAGACCTTTTTAATACTACTCAGGATGAAATGTAATGGCAACTTCACTGCTGTATTATGGAAAATCTGTAAGAATTATAAACCTGAGAAAATTATTATTTACGAAGTTACCTGAATTTAATAAAACATTTTATTATAATACTCACATTCATATTTCATACACTATAGCTTTTTGGGGTGTGTTTGTACTCTGATCATAAAATGAAGAAAGGATGTCACTTTGTGTTGAAAAGAGGTGGGAACACAGGGGTTCAGATTAAGGGTGCGACCGTACACTTTGCTCACATGAATGATGCACAATATTGGGTTCACGAGAACAAGACAAGAAGATATTTAAACACTATTTTGATGATTTATTCAATGCTGATATAAAGGGGGGGAGGGGTTTGGGGGTACGTAAAGGGGAAAGCCATAGGCTGGAGAATAAGTAGGCGCCATGAAATTAATGTTACTACATATTTCACACCACTGACAGGGGAAACACCTCCCCTCTCTCTGTGATTATGGCCAGCTTCAAGCTAAAGCTATCAAACAACAGCGTTCATTTGCATCGCTAAAGTCTGACAAACTTAATTTAATTACCTGTCCAGCAGAAAACAGACAACTTCACCACTGCTTTGAAAACATCTGTCCCACATTATAGCCTTCCATCAGTAATGGATTCTGTTGGGCCCCATTTGATCTCTGTTTTCAACAGCTCCCTATCTACTGGTTGTGTCCCTGATTATTTTAAAACGACTTGCGTGAACTCACTTTTAAAGAAACCTGGTTTAGATCCCTCCCTCCCACAAAATTTTAGACCAATTTCAAAACTGCCTTTTATTGCAGATAAGATTCTAGAAAGAATTGTGTCCAAACAGCTGCTCACTGTACTGGAAAATAACAAAATATTTGAAAAGTTTCAGTCTGGTTTTAGGAAGTACCACAGCACTGAGACTGCCCTGCTTAAAGTCACCAATGACCTTTTAATGTCTGCTGATGAAGGCATGTGCTCAGTCCTTGTACTCCTGGACCTTAGTGCTGCTTTTGACACCATTGATCACAACATCATGTTAGACAGACTGAGGCATTGGGTGGGGATCTCTGGTACTGCCCTAGAATGGTTTTCATCCTACCTGTCAAATAGGAAGTTTTGCGTTTCTGTAAACAACTATGTCTCTTCGTTCTATCCATTTAAATATGGTGTGCATCAGGAGTCGGTCTTAGGACCCATTTTGTTTTCCTTGTATCTGCTTCCCCTTGGACATATTATCCATAAACATGGCATTTCTTTTCATATTTATGCTGATGACACACAAATATACTTGCCCGTCAGATCCACAGACCCTGGAATGCTGAGTTCACTTAACAACTGCCTTTGTGAAGTTAAAAAATGGATGTCAAATAATTTCCTCCAGCTGAACTCAGACAAAATAGACATCCTGGTCATCGGGTCCCAGCAGATGGCATCTGCTGGTTCGCTAGTAAATCACATTAAGCCTGTGGCAAAGAACCTTGGTGTTTGGTTTGATAGTAATTAAAATTTCGAGCAGCACACCACAAAGCTTGTTCAATCATGTTTTTATCAACTATATATATATATATATATATATAGCTAAAATTCGATCTATGTTAACTTTTAAGGACACCGAGACCATTTTACACGCCTTCATCTCATCACGCCTGGATTATTGCAACAGCCTTTTCACCTGTTTAACCCAAAAATCTATTGATCGACTCCAGACTGTCCAGAACTCAGCTGCCAGGCTTTTAACCAGAACAAAGAAATATGACCACATTACTCCTATTTTAGCTTCATTACACTGGCTCCCAGTATGTTTTAGAATTGACTTTAAAATTCTATTGATCACTTTTAAAGCTCTTCATGGCCTCTCGCCTTGTTATATTTCTGACCTTTTAGTCCCATACACACCAGCACGTACCTTGAGATCCTCGGGCAGAGGTCTGTTGTCTGTTCCAGAGTCTCGACTGAAAACTAAAGGGGACAGAGCGTTTGCTGTCAGGGCCCCCGAGGCTCTGGAACAGCCTGCCCGAGGAAATCAGGTCGGCTGAGTCAGTGAACTCTTTTAAGTCCCTTCTTAAAACATACTTTTATAGGAGAGCCTTTCCCGATCTTATTTGACTTTATTTTATCCCTTTTATTTTATTCTATTTTACTAATTTTACATTTATCTGTATTTTAGTCTTTTTCATGCTTTTATCTTGTATTGTTTTTTGTATTATTGTCTCTTGGGTATTATTGTCTTTACACTTGTTAAAGCACTTTGTAACTTGTTTTTGAAAAGTGCTCTACAAATAAGAATTATTATTATTATTATCTGGGAAAATCCACAACATCCGTGATTTTGCCGTCAGCTGTTTGTACCTGTCCTGACTCCTCATCATCACCTTCATGGTATAAAGATCCACAGCCTGTCAGCTCTCGTGTCGGCTCTTCATTTGTCCAAATGTCACTTCTCTTCTTACTTCTAATAAACCAGAAGACTACTCAGAGACTGTTTATTATTATTATGTCCTCTTCTGTGTATGTATTCAATGTACTGATGCGTGTCTACACTGCTGGAATTATGCAAGAACAAGAAGAACGCCGTGATGACGAAACACGCTCTGTAGCGTTGTTTGTTCGTCTGCTACGGTAGAAACATGACAACAAATAACAGCGAGGGGGTGCCCGCGATACAAATGGATCATTCTAAGGTAATAAAAACATAATGGTTCATTATGTAAGGTCTTTACACACCACTGAAAACATAGCTATGGATCTTATATTGCATTTCTGTCAATAGATCCTAAGAAATATTACACACTGAACCTTTAAATCAGTAAAATCTTAATTATGTTATCTTAATTTTACTTAAATGAATGACTGCTAAGAAAGCCATAAGAACACTTGATGCCATTGCGGATGTACAGTATTTCCACTTTCTGCACTGACCTGATCTGCATCTGACCTGCACTGTCTGTGAATGAAATACATCAGATAAATAAACTGCTGAAAGACAGAGTTAAGCAGAAGACAAATTTTAAGTTGAACATTCAGAATATTTTATTGTCCATTATGAATACATTTAACTTTGACACAGAGTAGTTACAAAGTTGTACGGTAAAGTTGCCAAATACTAAAAGGTAATAAATTGGTAAATGTTTGTGTATGTTTACACAAACTGACATGGCACATAAAATCTATCTTAGGTAATAAAATTGAGGTCTGCTTAAATTATACTGAAATGAGTGAAGACCTGAGGACTGACCACAGTTCGCTCTTCAAGCTGCAATAAGAAAGAAAGAATACAAAATTATTATGTACTGTGAAGACTTAGGGCCCGTGTCCACCAAAGCGTTTTTTTTTGTCTGATGTCAGCATAATTTTTTCAATTCATTCCAATGGGAGCACAGCGTTTACAACCAGGTAAAAACGGCAGCAGCGTGACGAGGTGCTGAGCGTTTTTTTCCATGCTGGGCCCAGCTGTCCAATCACAGTAGAGGAGGGGCGGGAAAAGTACCACACCATAGCAACGGTTACTATCCTGGAACTGGGCTTCGTCCAACCTCACCTCTTGGACCAAATGGTGTTAGGCTACTTGTGGAGATGTTTCCTCTCCCACAAAATCTCATGAACCCACATACCGTCCGTATGTCCTCTCTCTCTAACTGCTTCAGAATTTTCTTCATACAGAGTAAGGGCCATAGCAAGTACTCTACTATGTGTTGACATTTTTACAACCAGTAAAGTTAGGTAGATGTACTTGCAACCACGGATTTTTTGTATCATATCATTGTATCATGGGCGTTTCCAGCTGGCAAAAAGCGCTCTGGTTGACACGGGCCCTTAGTCTCAGCAGCAATTCATTTTTTGCTAAATTTAGTTCTATTTCATTCTTCCTGACCGCCAGAGGCAGTGCTTAACACTGTATGCTTAACACTCTTGCATGGCTCTGCTGCTGGCTGCCAATGGCCATGATGAATGCCCCAAATGCCTCAGTGTTACGCATATGAGAGGGGGGCTATTCTACAGTCAGTGTGTGAATTGCAGTTTTATGTCTGAAGCTGAACTGAACTGAAGCTAGCCCGGCTTGCTAAAGGTGGAAAGGCTGCTGCTTGAAGGCCAGTTGCCTTCATCTGGTGTGGCTTCAAATGTGTGGAGTAAGCATAGTAGCCCGCCACCTACAGGTGCCCCGCCTAGGAAAAAGCCAAGATAGTGGTTTGGCAGCTAAAGTAGACACACTAGCCTCAGAATTTACTGAGATTAAGGGTTTGCTCCTTAACCTTCAGGCAGGCAGGGGAGCTGCAACCTGGTTAGACAGACCAGCCAGGGGTCCACCCCACAAGGATGGGATGACAATGCCGTGTCTACGAGGGCCTTCCCATAACCAGTTCTGCAAGGACAGACCTGGACAGGGAGAAGTACAGGCTTTAACCTGTGCTTCCAACACCTGTTCCAAGCAGACAGGAAGCAAGTCCAGAGCAGGCTCGGACGCTGCCCATGCCTCAATTAAGCCAGTGGTCTGTATGGCACTGGCACACTTGGGCTTGGATGAAGCACTAACAGCAAATGCTCTAGCTAGTTCACATAAATTCAATGTAATTTATATAGCGCCAATTCACAACAACAGTTATCTCATAGCATACTGTAGAGCAGGTTTTGACTGTACTCTTTGTGCCATTTCATTTTTTAGGCATCTCCCTCCTGAGGCTGTTTTTTCTGTGCTGCCCTTCCAGCCATATATAGAGGAGCTCCACAAATGCCAGATCCCAAAGCTTTTTCTCACCAAACAACTGATGGTAGAACCTTGGCTTCCATGCAGAATGCCAGCTGTGGAGCCAGTTATCGCGTCCCTCACTGTGTCACCCACTGAGGTGGTGAGACCTGATGCTTGCTGTCCCAGGCCACAGAGTCGCATTACAGATGACTTCCTAGTGAGAGGCTATGATATGACTGCATGCATGGGCCGTAGTGGAAACTCTCATTTCCACCTATTAGCTCTGCCTCTTAGAGGTCTCTGCAATGACCTCTACTCGCCATGGAGTTGGGAAAGCCAGCATTTGGCAGGAGTCCAGGGTTAATGCAATGAACACCATGGCTGGGTATACTTTTGGCCTAAGTGACAATGATAAGGCCCAACCTTGTTACATGACATAGAAGGACAGCAGTGTCCTGCTCAACCTGCTCCTGGGTCGGAGTGCATATCAGACAGTCATCCAAATATCCCTGCATTGGGGCCAGTGCTGCCCATGAAGACCCGTGGGCAGACCATTTAGATCTAAGGTTGCACGGAAGAGAGTCAGGGTGTCCAGCCAATTCCTGCTTGTGTTACAGTCATGGACAGATGAGGCATATCTGGCCAGGGGTATCTCACTCGTTTCTATCCCCTCATGTCAGGAGGTAGTGGTGTCCGACGCTTTGGGTGGGGGGCAGTGTGGTAGCACAAGGCAATGAGGGGGCATTAAATGAGCTACGAAAGGATGGAGCACATAAATTAGCTCAAAATACGAGTTCCCGTCATTTATAAGAGGCAGTCATGTTCTTGTGACAACAAGTCTGCGGTCTACGCTGTAAATGCACAAGGGGGCACCAGGTCAACATTGTCACTGCGGGCGGCACAGCAAATCCTGGTATTGGCTTTCCCTCACTTGGCCAGCCTCAGGACCATGCACTTGCTGCAACCACAGAACATGGTACAAGACTACCTCTACTGCCAGACACCTCCCCCAGGAGAGAGGAGACTCCACCCTGAAGTGATAGAGGAGATACGGCATATGGCACAGCAGAGGTGGGCCTGTTTGATTCAGAATCCACAGCCCACTGGTACCTTTGGTTTTCACCGATGGGACAGTATGCGCTGGCACAGCCGCGGCCAGATCACCTTCTCTATGCCTTTCACCATTTTCACTGATAACGGTTACGTTCCACAGAGTGCAGCAAAGCAACCACAGGCAGGCTTTCCAGGTGGGTTGTTGAGGTAATTGAGGAAACACATGTCAAAAGGACGCCCTTTGCCCCATAACATCTGGGGCCACTCCAGCAGGAGTGTCTCCACTTCCTAGGCAGCAGTATGGCGGGTGCCTCTGAGTGAGATTTGCGCTGTGGCCACCTGGGCCACACCATTTGCCCATTTCTATTGGGTCAATGTTGCTGCTTCCCATGCAGTAGTGGTAGCTGTCTTTCATGAACCCTTAGGCCATTCGTGACAATGTCAGTAGTAGTCATCGAGTGTTAAGCACTGCCTCTGGCAATCAGGAAGAATGAATAGAACAAGAGTTATGCATGTAACTATGGTTCTATGAATTCTGCATGATCTTTAGTTAGAGTTCTCTGTCACTCGTTTTAGCGAGAAGATTTTGCAGGGACATTTTTCAAAACGACGCAGGCTTATTTAAGCTATGCCCTGCGTCACACCAGTTCACATGTGACGACATTATACCTTTTTGTGGTCGGGGTAAAGTCGGGGTAAAATGTTTTAGGATTTTCGGCCATTCAATGACTTTTGTAATGTTGCAGTGCTTGCGTATGTTATTACAAACTGTTACCTGCAGCACAAGGGTAGATGTATTCTGTCTCAGCCTGGTCACCTGAGAGGGAAAAGAATAAGCAGAAGATTTATAACAAGTGAAAAGAGTAAAACCTTTTTCAAATGTTCAACAGTCTAACACATTAAAAACATGTAGTACTCAAAATGACTATTCTGATAATTGTTCAGAGTTTGTCAGTGTGGTCTCTGTAAATGAGCATTAGAGAGGACTGAGTATCTGACTTACTTGGCTGGTAGTAGTCATAGATCTTGACCACGGCTGGCTTCAGGTTCTGCACTGTGACCTCCTGTAGGAGGTCTAAGCTGTGGTTGATAGGTATGTCCTTCATTAACTGTTGGAATAAAAACAGACGACACGTCAGTCACAAATCTGGAGAGCAGCATCTATTGTTCCTCACTGTGAATCCCTCTCACCTCCGTTATGTACACCAGAACGTGATCTTCCTTTTCTTCAACACGATCCACCAGCAGGGCACCTTTGAGCTGTGAGGAGACCACATTCAGCTGGGTCGTTTATTGAACACTATTCATTTCCTACTCAGGTTAAAGTCACTGTAATAACTCACCCTCCTCAAAGACTCTGGGTCTGGGACAAAGCCAGAGAGCATTTTGATGTCCAGGATCACCATGTTTGTAGTGCTTGCTGTTCCACTATATCTGCAATGCAACCAGAAAAATGTGACGTTACTCAGACTTCATCCTGTTCTTCATAGTTCTAGTAGTTGAATGCAGAGACAGTTTTTAAATCTGAGGCTTTGGAAAGACTTCATTTACAGTTATAATATTTTTAAGCTGAGTATTAACAAACCGTTTGTAATCATTTCTCACATGTCCATCCACCAACAGTCAGTAGCTGGTAGATTCAGAGGATTGTTTGTCATAAATTACAGCATTCTTCAATCATTGCTGTAACATGGATCTAGTGTTGTTGATTACTTACAGGGACTTTAGCTTCAGAGTGAGTTTGGGTCTGAGAGATGTGCAGTCGGCCTCTGGTTTGACCTCCACACTGAGAGTGGTGACAGCAGCAGGAGTTGGGATGTTATAGTGAAGAGAGATCTGGGAAACAGGGATACAGGGAAGGTTTAATAATCATAAGAAGTGAACAAGGGGGATTTAAGTAATAGTACTTAATCTTATGCTAGCCCCTGTCCCCCCGTCGCACTTCAGTGTCTTCCTTACATTTTAACAAAATCCTTTTATAATAGTTTAAATAGTTAGATTTCATCATTTTCACCTTGGAATAAACAAACCATGCTACCCTTTAAACTGGAGGTATGGTGCTTCTAAAGCTTTTGTATTGCTCCTGGGATGCTAACATGAGGACATGGTTATTTTTGCAGTGTTGTATTTGTGGTGGTGTATATGTCAAAGAGAAACAGGAAGTGCTGCAGTGACAGTGATCACTGACCTGCACTGAAGCACATGCAGAGCCCTTCACCTCCAGGTTGTACTTTCCTGTCACTTCCTGCAGCAGCTTCTCCTGGTAGAGCAGTTTGTTGTTCTGATTCACATCAAATGTCAGCTGGCCACTGGGAGACTGGACTGTCACTGTGCTGGAACCCTCTGGACTGAACACTGCAGTGGCGTAGAGAGCCAGAGCCTGGAGAGCCACCACCGTGTCCTACAACACACAACACAACAATTACTTTATGGGCTTGGATCCAAATTGAAACTGTGACTGGTTTACACATAAAGCAGTTTTATTTGTAGTAATTCACTTGCTCCCAACTTTGTGGAAACAGTTTGGGGATGGCCCCTTCCTGTTCCAACATGACTGCGCACCAGTGCACAAAGCAAGGAACATAAAGACATGGATGAGCGAGTTTGTGTTTGTGAGTTGGTGTGGAAAACTTGACTGGCGGAGTCTTGACCTCAACCCGACAGAACACCTTTGGGATAAATTAGAGCAGAGACTGCGAGCAAGGCCTTATCGTCCAACATCTGTGCCTGTCCTCACAAATGTGCTCCATATTAAACCCTACGTATTAAGAATTGGATGTCATTAACCTTCATGTGCATGTAAAGGCAGGTGACCCCAAACTTTTGGTAATATAGTGTACATGGTTTTCACAAAAGTTCAGTATTAGGTCACAGCTAAATCACAGACATTTCAATTAACTGCTCCTACTTTTTTCTTTCATCATATTCAGATGAACAGGCCAGAAGAGAATACTGTACATTTATTGTGAAGTCCAGCTGTCTGGGCTGTACCTGTGTAGAGGAGAAGCCTCCATAATAGTTCTGCTGGCCCGTCAGCCATCTGACGATGCGGGCGGCTTCGCCCAGGTCTTCAGCAGTGGGAGAGACGCTGAGTTTGGCCAGCAGCACATAGGAGCTGATCTCCACAGACAGAGAGGCTGACGTTTCTGTTGCTGTCTGAGACCAGTAGAGGAAACCTCCTGAAAACAGCCATCCACAAAACAGATAAACATTTACATTAGCTCATTTGGCAGACACTTTTATCCAAAGCGACTTACATTTGAGGAACAACATACAACCATCAAGAAAGCATCAAATACAGCACGAGAACTAGAACTGACAATACATACTAGATAGAGCACTAATAAATACAAGTAAGAGTTGAGAGCACATATCGCATCAATGGGGTAAATACCTACGGAAAGAAATAAGAGTTAACAAAAAGTACTATCAATACAGGATAATTGTAAGGGGGATAGAAGAAGAAGAGCACAGGAATTGCATGTTAAGAGGTTAGGCATTTGTTTGTCTAGTGGCCGAGAAGGAACGTAAACTTGTATTATGGAGTTTAGCTATATGGGTGCAGACCCAGTAGTGACTTGAATTTGAGGCCACGGGGAGCCAGTGGAGGTCACACAGCAATGGAGTGACATGTGTCCTTTTGGGCTGATCAAAAACCAGACACGCTGCTGCGTTCTGAACCATTTGTAGGGGTTTCATCACACAAGCTGGAAGACCCGCTAGGAGGGCATTGCAATAGTTGAGGCGAGAGGTAACCGTGGCCTGTAACAGAAGCTGGGTGAGTGAGGTAGAGCCTGATTTTTCTTATGTTGTATAGAGCAAAGCGGCACAACAGAGACAGCAGCAACATGGCCTGAAGGGGACAGCTGGTCAGTCATCAGTCATGCCACCCATGTTTCTCACCACCCTGGTTGGAGTGATGGTTGAGGTAGTGGGAGGAAGATAATTGTCCTTGCCACAAAACCTTGTAGGAATGCCCTGAAAGGTAGGAACCGAACCACAGGAGTTCTTTGCCCGAGATGCCCATTGGTGAGAGTGCAGATAGCAGCATCCTGTGATTGACTGTGTCAAAGGCAGCTGATAGGCCAAGCAGGATAAGAACCGAGGATTGGGCTGCAGCTTTAGCTGACCTTAGGGCTTCTGTTACAGACAGAAGAGCTGTTTCAGTAGAGTGGCCACTCTTAAAACCAGACTGATATGGATCTAGGAGGTCACTCTGTGAGAGGAATTCTGAGACCTATTTGAAGGCTGACGGTTCGATAGCTATGGATGAAAATGATAGAAGTGAAGCTGGCTGATAATTCTCAACTTGAGTTGGGTCGAAGGACGGCTTTTTGAGCCAGGGTTTAACCTGAGACCTTTTGAAAGTGGTCGGGAAGGTTCCTGAACCCAGAGAAGTATTTATCACGAGTGATTGCCAAGGTAGGAGACATGTAGTGGGACGGCTACGGGTCAGGAGTTCTAATACTTTGATCTCTGTGAGAGGAGTAATGTGGAGAGTGAAGTGCCATTGACCTGGGAGGACAGAGGAACAGATGTAGTAGGACTGCTACATGTTAGCCTAGGTGTTGAGCCTTCTGTGCCATTTCCCGAGGGAGATGGAGGGAGACATCCGGTTGATTTTGAGTGATTTAGAGAATTGGCGAGTTGTAACCGCCACATTGCCTGTGAAGAAGGCAGCAAAGGTATCAGCAGACAAGTTTGTGGGTGGTGGAGGAGGATTTAGTAGCGATTTAAAAGTGTCAGTGGCACTGCTAATTCTGTCATTATAGAATGCAGTTTTGGCAGCACTAATGCTTGTTGAGGAGGAGGACAGGAGCATTTGGTAGTCCTTAAGGTCTACAGGGTCTTAGATTTTTGGCTGTTTTCTTTCAGCGGCTCTGAGATCAGTATGGAGCCCGCGGATGGTATCAGTTAGCCACGGGTGGGACTGGGTCTGGCGAGGAGGTTTGGTGGATAGAGGACACAGGCTATCAAATTCAAATTAGCTTTATTGGCATGAATGTATAACAACAATATTGCCAAAGCTACATATAAATTACATAAGAACAATGAATTTCATACATTTCATTAAATAAGTAAATAAAACAGTAAAAGTTGTGTTTGTTAATAAAAAATAAAATAATAGTAATAATAAAAAATACATAAAATATAAAATTCTGTAGAATAAATATTAAAAATAAAGTAAATAAATAAAGGATGAAGCGCGCGTGTGTGTTTAAAAAAGAAAAAATTATATATATATATTAAAAATTAAATAAAAATTATTATTAAATTAAAGTAAATAGATAAAACCGTAAACGTGTGTGTGTGTGCTATCCAGGCACGAGCTCAGTTTAGAGCACAGAGATTGTGCGGCATCAATGACCTCGAGTGAGGAAAATGTGTTGAGGTGAGGTAGAGCGAAGGCTTCCACTGAGGCAAAGTGAGTGGGAGACAGGTTGCGGAGGTTGTGGTGAGAGACATAAGGTGCTGGAACAATGGGCAGTTAATGTAGGCATACTGTTAACTGGATGAAATAGTGGTCAGATATGTGTACAGGTGTGAGTGTAAGGTATTCGGTGGCACAGTTACGGACAAGAACAAGGTCAAGTACTTTGCCAGCTTTGTGGGTCAGGGGCTGAGAACCCGTGTTAGATCAAAGGACTGAATCAGAGACAGGAAGTCTGCTGAGTCTGATTTGTCTAAGTGAATGTGAATGTCACCGAGGACAAGTAACGGACAGTCCTACTCTGGTATTAAAGATAGCAGTGTGTCTAACTCGTCCACGAAGTTACCCATTTGTCCTGGTGGACGGTTTATGACAATCACAGAGACCTTTACCATTTGTTAGAAATTAAGAGCCCAGTCTCACCCCGCCTCCCAGACGGTCGGTGGGTGAAAGAGTAATTGGTGGACAGCGCAGCGGGGGTAGCAGGGTTTTCTGGTTTGATCCAGGTCTCAGTGAGTGCCAGTAGCCCAAGAGATAATGTATTAGCATAAGCAGTGATAAAGACTGGCAGCTCCATGACTCTACAGAGAAGTAAACAGATGTGGGTAGTCTCTGTTTTAAAGGCTTGAGGAGTGCCATATTTCTGTGCCTAATGGCATGATACCTCTTGCGTGCACCGGAGACAACAGAAATAGTATGGTAGGGTGAGCTACATTCACAGGAATGAAGCCAGAAGGATTTCCTTTAGGAGGAGGACTCACCTTGGTTTGATGCAACAGTGTCCAGGTGCTTCAGAAGGTGAGCACGGGTCTCCGTTTCTCCTGCCAGGGTGAAGACGTACGCCAGCAGAGCTGTAGTGTAGGTGTTGCTGAGGTCACTGATGGACTCCCTGAGACAAGACAGGCTCTTGTTCACCACAGGATCCTATAACAGATTCAAAAAATACATTATAATAAATGATCTCAGGACTCAAGTGATTTTATTGAGCTTAACAAGCAAGTTTATTCTATTTTATGATTATACCCTAAACTAATTCTATCACACTATGCTATAGATACAGTATCTAAATATAAAAGAATGAATTTCCATCATCCAGCCAAGGATTTACAAAATAGTATGTGAAACACTTAAAAAAAACACAAACAACAACTAAGATTTAAGAACTTGTAGACTGGGAAGACGCAATAAAAATGCTGGAAAGTAATGTGCATCTAGATTTATTTAAGCCACACCAACCATACCAATGTGTAGCCTGCTACTGCTGATTTACTGAAGCTAAGCCGGTTTGGGCTTGGCTAGTACCTGGATGACAGACCTCCAGCAAAAATTAAGTTGCTGATGGAAAAGGTCTTGGTGGGTCAATAGGGGGCAGTCTTCCCTGTGGTACTAACAATTGGTACGTTTGAGATAACTGCAGGTGCCTCTTGCCGACTTGATGGTCTAGTGTGAGCTGCAGGCGACTGCAAGGGATGGGAATAAATACGGCGCAGTCAAGTCGGACACATTCTACCTGCATGAGCTTACTGTGAGCTAAGATCAAATCCCTTGGCATGTGTCGCAAAGAGTAGGGGTTCCCTGGTGTCATGGCAAAATTCCTAACCTGGCATTCTCCATCTGGCCGTCTAATCGTCCCCCACAGTAATTGGCTCAATGTTTCCCTCCCTCTCCGCCTCAAGCTAATGTGTGGGGAGCATTCTGATACAAAACGGCCAGGTGGGTGCCACACATTGCCCCCCCCCCCCCCACACACACTCTGAGGTACTTTAAGTTTCTATGATAAAGGGCTATATAAATGTAATCCATTAATATTAGTATTATAAATGCATAAAAATAGTATATAAAACTTTCATCCTTATTGTCTGTGTAAAAGTTGTTGGTTTGTGTCTTATAAAGAAAATTCTTTCAGGTTTACAGTTAAAACTGAGATTTTTGTACTGCAAGGAGTCAACTCACATTTGCGGATGCATTCATCTCCAAGTAGGCAGCAGTGATGTAAGCACTGAGAGTCACTTCATCAGACACACCACCCTGTAGAGAGGAAGCATCATGCAGACGTTACCATCACTGTAGCTCCAACACACAGGTGCCAGATTCAAGTGATTTTGAGTACTGCTTACAGACAGACTGCAAATGGTGACAGTGTCCTGTTTCACAAAAGATTTGTCTTACAGAGCTCTCGTAAGCTCATGCATGAGTCGCAATTATACCAAGTGAAACCTGTTAAAGTGGTCATATTATACTCATTTTCAGGTTCAAAATCTTATTTAGGGGTAGTACCACAGGTTACAGGTTTACATGATTTCATTTTCAAAAAACACCATATCTTTTGTCATACTGCACATTGCTGCAGCTCTTTTCACCCTGTGCGTTCGCTTTGTTTTAGCTATGGAGTGATACATCTCACCTCTACAAGAGGTTTGTTTGGAATTGCATTACCTAGTGTAGCATGACTACATTTGATCTAATAAATTTATGAGAATTAATACCAAATTATGAATTTTAATATTAATTAATATTAATTCACAAAGCTTCTTGTTTCGCGGGGCACCTCCCAAGATTCCGTTTGCCCAGGGTCTCGGGATTCCCTGAGTATGGCTAATAATTAGACAATTATTCACTAGTGATCAGTTAGTTAACAATCGCTCAATTATCTTAAATCAGTCTCATATCGAAGGGATAAATTCTCGTGGCAGGGACTTGGAGATAGGCAATACACACAATTCCTTTGATTACGGTGAGATTTATAAGCTAACTAAGCTGAATATAAATGCGGTTACATATACATCAAAGAAATAACAATGGCTAAACAATGAGAATGTGGGTTCTATTGTGGGGAGGATTTGACTCAATACTAACTCAATTAAATTTGTCTAGGAGTTTAAGGACTAAAAATAATGGATTAGCAGACTATTGGACATCACTGATCACAGAATGCAGGGTTTTGGTCTTAGTGAATGTTGTTTCTCCCAGCCGGGTTGCTGCTAAACGGCCTCACACTGGCGGAGTTCCGTGCGTTCTCAGTTAAGACAGCTTAAAGCAGTCACTTTCTCTGCCAGGGAATTGCTCCAGAGGTCCGTCTTTTGTTGGCTTATTGAAGAAACTCGCAGTCGGGGCCTTTCAAATCTTGGCTCGGGTCAGAGGTTTGGTGGTCCTTTGTGACTGGTGGCAGGCCACATGGCTGGGTCTGCCGTCGGTGGGATTAGCTCGATGAATAAAGCTTAAAAAAAGAACTTGGTCGTTCTTCAATTAAACTAGTATAACTTAACGGACTGATAACTTTTAACAAAACCAAAGAAAATAAAACGCAAGTAAAGTTGCTAGAAACGAGGGAAAGCTGAGGTCGCGGCACTTTGCGTGTGTGGCTTGAAACGAACAAAGCCTCCGCTGCTCCGGGTTGAATTTCTTAGGGCGTTGCCGGGAGAGGGAGCACACTGGGTGCATGCCGAAGCGCAGTTGGAGAGAACAGGAAACAATAGAGAGACAAGAGAGAGCAAGACAGAGTGGGTCGCTGCTTTTGTCTGTTGGGGCGTGGTTCCCAGAGGGCAGTCCTTTGTTCCCCTGAGGGAGGGCTTGTTTCCCGGTTTCCTGAGAGACCGTCTTTCTTTAGACATATTAAAAGTTAATCAAAGATCTATTTGGGCGTACTGTAATCAAATATCTTCCCACAATCAAACCTTAATTGTCAAATGGTTGTACCGTTCTAAGTTTTAAGCACTTGATAAAAAGGAAAACAATTGTCAGTAGTTAGACCTTAAAAGGTTAGCATTTCATAGGAATCACATCAGATGAGAGGAACTTAACTAGCTTTCTGGATATATTGGCTGTTACACGTTCTTAGAGAATATAAGCAAGATACACAAATGGCATTAGATTATGAACAGGTAAATACAGAGTGACATTTATACATTAAATGGCATTTCAAACGATGGCATGTAATACTTATTTTGTCCACTTGGGGGAGCTCTGGTTACATGACGAAAGCTTTGATTTATCCTAAAACAATCTTCTTGCTCAAGAGCTGGGAAATTTAGCTATTTAACCTTAAATTCAAGCTGGAAAATTTATCGAGTATAGGATGACATTCCTTTATCATCATTTCTAAAGGAAGTGTCGGAAAGTGTTGTGAACAAATCATTGATTACAACAACAACAAAAAAGGAATAAAGGTCAGGGATCCTTGCTGAAAATTAAACACTGCAAGATTACCACCAACATGGTAACATAACTACTCAAATGGAGTGGAGAGACCTAATTAAGTAACTTAAAGATTATCTAATTAAACAAGGTAATGCTTTGAGTTTTGAGGAGAGTACTCTTTTGTTTACACAAAGAGTTCAGGGCAGTCTTCTGGTGTCCTGGAGTTCCTCACAAATTTACATCTGAGGTGGCAAGTTTTACGATCAACTGCCCAGAAATAGCACTTAGGGAAAGCAACCTTTCAACCCCTGCCTTTGGTTTGCTTCAGGCGTCTGTTGAGGGTTGATATCTCAAAACCCCCTCCTTTTCTTTCTCCCATTTTGTGATATAAAATGCACAAATCCACACTGTTTGTACACTACACTAGTTAAGGACTACTAGCCAATCAGAAGCAGAGAAGGGCGGGTCAGTGAGAAGCCTGTAAAGACAGCTTCAGTTCAGCTGTATATGTTCCCCTTACCACCTTAGCAATATGGACTGGAGCAAGAGTTTCAGAGTGGTGAGTTATTAATCTGTAACAAAAGTATCTTTCATCCATAAAGTTTTAACTGAGCTCTGTCTCTACATCACAGTAACAACTTTATGTCCACTGACTGCCTGGAGGGTAGCTCGTGTTTGGAAGGGAGAGGAAAGGTGTGTGCTGCAGCTCAGTGGTTTTGAGGGTGTGTCGGACGAGCTGCTAGGTGAGAGTTATGATGCATGTTTTCTTGTGAAGAGAGTGAAGTAAAGGCTGGACTACAAACGAGCTGTTTTCAGGCAGTTCAGAGCAGAGTTTTCTGTGGGAGATGGGAACTCCTTTTGGGCTGGACTTTGGGCTTTTTCACTTTGCAAACCTATTATATGCACAAAAAGATATATAACTCAATAAAGGAAAGGGAAAAAAGCCAAAAAGCATAATATGACCGCTTTAAAATGAACATGAGAAGGAAGTGTTGCAAATTGCCACTTGCATACTGCATTTCCATGAAACGGGACCCAGGCGGGCATCAGTAATGACTGAGTGATAATTAAAGGTGTGCTGGATGGTGCAGTGAAAATCAACATATCTAACATTCTTCACTTAAAGTTATCATCAGCCATTTTCATACAAACTCAACAGAGACTGACCTTCATTCTGTTGTTGAAGAGTTTTCCCAGCTGCTGGAAACAGCCGTTTTCTCGTTGTTTGCCATCCAGCCAAGACTTAGACTCAGCAAGCTTTACTGGGTCAATGTAGATGAAAGACTGTGCTTTGGCAAAAGATCTCAGTACAAAAGCAGTCAGCCTGAGGAGAAGGTCAAACAATAACTAAATAAATTGAAGAGGAAGCACTTGATCTGTGTAATGTCTTACAATAGTCACAACAATATACTAAACATAACACTTATTGCTTAAGCATGCATTCATAAGAAGTGTAGAGTTTGTTTTTTTTAAATGTACATGTAATTTACTTAGCACAATGGTAGTACCACTGTGCCATGCTGCCAGGAAGAGGAGGAGGTGTGTGTTAGCGGGCGGAGGGACAGAGAGAGAAGGAGGTCTTGTCTTGTCTTCTTCCCTATTTTTCCCCTGGTGTTGATACTAGTGTTCATTCTGAATAGTAAACTTTGTCAACTTGGTAGCTACTTTGTATATGTTTGGGTATATCAATAATTCACTTGAAAGAATTTTAATTAGTTAAATGGTTTTAATTAGGGTTAGGGTAAGCGGGTGACAAAAATAATTGACAAAAATGTTGACTAATTGAAAAAATAATTGAGAAATTAGTTGACTATGAAAATAATGGTTAGTTACAGCCCTACTTCTCTGAAGAAGTCATATTTTACATAACATTCAATTAAATTTTATTTATATAGCGCCTATTCACAACAACGTTACATCAATGCACTTTTTATATAGAGCAGGCCTGTACTATAATATTATTAACAGAGACCCAACAAAATAAAATAACATGCTAATATTTGCAGTGCTTTCTATATAGTTAATTTCCTGCAAAAACTTGAAACATGTTTTACAAATGCCCATGATTCACTAACAAACACACTTTGAATTGCAAATACAAAACACCAAACTATAGCATTTTCTTTTGGAGATATTTTTTGTACTTGTACGACATGCTGTATTTGTTTCTAAATATGATGTATTAGAAATATGTTGTGTATTTGTTTGGTACTTTTTGTATTAGCATGGATACAATGTGCAGCCACATATTTTGGCCAGTGATGGTCATTTAGTATGTCGCACATTCAAATACCTCCACACACCCTTCGCTAAGCCACGCCCCGAATACACAGCTTGTCAATCACAGCGCAGTAAGCCACACTCCGAATACACAGCTGGCCAATCACAGCGCAGTACGCAGGACCGACACTTTCATGGCTGTGGCTCGGGAGTTAGAGTGGGTTACCCTTTAATTGGAAGGTCTGTGGTTCAATCCCCGGCTCCTCCAGGCTGCATGTCGAAGTATCCTTGGGCAAGATACTGAACCCCAAATTAGGCTCAGTGAATGGTGAATGCAGATGTAGTGTAAAAGCGCTTTGAGTGGTCGAAAAGACTAGAAAGGCGCTATACAAGTACGGAGCATTTACACTGACTCTAATGCAAAAAGTGTAGTTTTTTAGCTGTATTTTTCTAAGATATGGTCAAAACCTGCTCCAGAGGCATCTTGTAATAGTTACAGCAGCTACCCAGAGAGATTGAAAGGAGAAGTGCAATTTATTCTCTTTCCAAAACCTAAAATAAATCAAGAAAATGTAGGCTGTGGATTGTCCCTAATGTAATGTTAGCTGGCTAACGCTAGCTAACTTCCTACTGTATGTAACGCTATAAAGCCCTACTAATAAAGGCCTACCCAGCTGTACAGGAACACTGTTGATTCTTAACATCGTTGTCTTTTCTCAATCGTGGTTCACTTGTATTGTGTGATTTGAAGGCTTTGGCTTCTATCTTTCCCCCGTCCGTTTGAGTCAGTTTGACAGCCTGAATACAACCTTCAAATGTATAATGCAACTGCAAAACTGACTGCTTCTTTCTGAGATCGCTTTTTCCAACAAATGTGACAATATTACTCCGGGGAGTACAGTAATAGACAGCGGCAGTGCCGACAGTTTGTCGGACGTAACTAAGGGGGGCGGGGCTTAGCAAAGGTTCATTTGGGTCAGTACATTCACATGCCCCACTAAGGATGTGTGCAAAATCTGGAACCAATTGGCCGCTAGGTGTCGCTTTTGGTGCAAAATCACGAAATGTTATCATATTTTATCACACTACTCTTTTTGAATAAAATGTTCTCCACCTGGAATTTGCGTCGGGGCTGTAGGACTGCAGGCACCATTTGCAACACCTCTGTGGGTCGCTGGGCGTGGCTTGTGTCTTAAACTGTTAGCAGGTCTAGTTTTTTCTTGACCTCAACAGTAAAGGTTGCACACAACGCATATATAGTTATTATTTGTGGATGATCGATCAGACATATTCTCACCAAGTGTTCCCTGTACCTGATCCAAATGTGCTGTAAGCACCGTCGCCATGTTTGTAGTTTAGCTGTCTCTGGTAGCCTGTAAAACAAGAGAAACAGACTTGTTAGGGCATTAAAACTACACTCAGATAATCTAGGTTAAATACATCACATACATACATACATACATTTATTATTAGATAAAATTTGTTTATGATGTCTATGTAAGTTTGAAAGAACAGACAAAAACCCCCAACCTTTTTGGGAATTGTATGCCCTTATTGGACAGCTGACAGTAGAGAGATGACAGGTAATGAGGTGAAAGAAAGGGGAAATAACATGCTACGAAGCTCAGCTAGGGGTTATGGCGGGGACGCTAGGGCTGAAACGATTCATCGATTAAATCGATTAATAAAATGCATCGACACAAATTCTTTGCATCGATGCTTTGTTTAATCCATATAACTATTTAGCACACTGTTTTGCACGGACATTTATTACCGTCGCACATCGCACTTACGCTGTAGCTGCGTTCGAAAAGTCTTTTTTGCTTAGGAAGGTTCCTAACTGAGTGAAATGAACCGGAAGTATTTCAGTAGCAGCCATGATAAGAGCTGTTCAAATTCTCTAAAAGCTAAGGAAAGGAGCCTCAATGCTTCCTTTCATATCTCCTTTAGCATAGGGTACACAGGACCATCCTTTGTGAAAGGAAAGGAGAGAATGCCGTCCCACAATTCCTTGCGATGGCATCATTTAAAGCAACGCATGTTCACAATCTCAAACGATAAAATCCACATTTAGCAAGATCCTTGCAAAACAGACGCGCATTATGACTATTGGATACATCTTTACTGATGCTATCTAAATCAGTCACTGACTATAGTGCATGACTGTAGCTTTCAGCCAGGAGAAGATGTCATCAGGTGGCGTCCAAATTTCACGGGGTGTTTCGATCCTGAACCACAACACCCTCCAGTTGGCGGGTCGGCAGTGGCGGCCAGCCACTGCCCATCTCCTCCTGGCCCCCAGCTCAACTCCTCCCTCCTACTCCAGTGCCAGCAAGACGTTCTTTCTGCTGCCTCACCCAACCTACGGACAGCTGCCTTCCTCTCCCTTCCTGCTAAACCCAGAGCCGTGAGTTTCTTCCACACAGACTGCGCCAGGAAACCCCTACACCCGACCTCAACCAGGAATAGCCAGGTCTGCCACCTGATAAGACCCACAATTACCTTCTTTCTTTTGGTTTGTTTTCTTTTGGCTTTTTTGTAATCTAATATTGTATCAACACCTTTTTATGTTTCGGGTTGTTGAAATAAGTGTTTTCTACAATAAAAAAAAGAAATCACCCACCATGATAAAGGATGTCGATCACCATGTTAAGTTACCATTGGCTATTAAGCCTTTTCTCTCTTATGCCCTAACTTGCTAATATGCATATATCTTAAACTGTCAACAATAGGCTTAACTGAGACCCATGCGAGCTGTCTTGTAACGTGATCAAACTGAGGATAATGCTGCAGTGTGTAACCTCACATTATGTAGGCCTATTGCCAGCCTTCAGCAATATCATTAATTCATTTTACTTCAGTCACAGATGCTGACACCCTCGCCTTAATAAAGGCAAAGCTCAAGCTGGATAACCTCTAAAGTAGGCGTTTCCCACACACTGATTTATTTGTGGCGTCCTGCCACATTATCATCGCTCATTTTCCATTGATTTTGTTACTATTTAAAATGGTATTTGATGACAGAGCGCTGCACAGCGCATATATTCTCTCAGCATCTCCTCTCGCCCTGTCGCTCCCTCTCTCTCTCTCTCTCGGCACAGTTACGCTGTCATTCTGTGGGAAACACTGTATTTCCATACAATTGATCCCAATTGTATGTAAATACAGTGTTGATAAATAGGCCTATGGGTGGGCAGGAGGGTGAGTGTGAGCATTCTCAATGTGACAACCTGTCCATTAGAGATTGGTACCCTATCTGCCTTTTTGCTATCTTGGTTATGAAGTAATATTTTCCACCGTGTTGTCCACCTTTAGATGGCCTGCATTACAACAACATGGGGCGCAGTGTCAAAGATGCGGTTTATGTAGTCCATCTTCAGAACATTGTAGTTTTATCACAGCAAGCCACGTCAGTAACATCCGCCGTAGCATAATTACATCACCTAGAAAAGAGCAGTTGGATTCTTTTAGACCCGCTGTCCTCTTTTCCTTAGTACTAATGGATTCTCCTTCACATCTTTCCTTGACCTCATGACATTTTCCGTCGAGGTCAAGGAAAGGTGGTTAGGAAACAAGATTTTTTTGACTTTTGAACATGACGTGATTATAATGGAGCTGTTTGCAAAGTGAAAAGCAAAAGAGAAAATATAACGAGGGACAAAGAAGAAAGTGTCCAAAGTATGGGATTATTTCAAGCTAAAGAAATCATCGACTCTGTAATGTTACCATCTGTCCACTGTAAAACAAAACTTATGTTGCGTTGGCAACAGCACGCCGGCGCCTGATCAGAAAGCAGCCGGTGTTCTGCCAGCGGACAACAGACAAGGTAACAGTAACAGCAACTTTAGCATTTAACTGAAATCATGATTGATTGTTGCGTTGAAGGCTAGCCAAAGTAATCCGCAGTCTTCAGCTGAAAATCTACACGCGTGCGTTTGTTGTTCTCCTTTTTGGGCCGTGAGTTGTAACCTCAGAGTCAGGAGTTAACTGGGTGTTGGGGGGCTGCACCTTTTAACTCACCTCCAGCTCTCTCTGTAGCAAACCCTGCTACCTGCGTGTGCTAATCCATCCTTTCACCCAGACTCTTTGTCTTTATAATTGCTATCTTTACAATAACAAACAGCTGTTATGTGTGCAGGATTGCTCATTTCACATTTCACATTTCACGTGTGTTTTCTTGCCAAAACGTGGTTTGGAGACCAGCTGCGGGTGACACAGCCGCTGTTAGCTCGTGTAGTGTGTGACCCCCCTGTCACCGATCAGTCACGTAATGTGAACGACACAACGGCTACAAGGCAGCTGCCGCCGCCAAACAAAGATACTTCTTAAACAACTCATCGATGAATCTTTGAAATAATCTATAGAAGCTTTGAATATTAAAATCATCGTTAGCTGCAGCCCTAGGGGACGCTATGGCCTCCAAGGTGCCCAGACAGTTTTTAAATGAACATGAACTAGTGGGACTTCAAATTGAAAGTTGTGAACTATGAGCAAGAACTAGTTCATTTGAATCTGTGTGAACTGAACTTTGAGCTGCCCCTGATCTCTGATTGGAATGATGAGCACTGTCAACTGATGACACATGACAGATCCTGCTTAGATTGTGTGCAACCAGCACCAGGCAGTTACAGGTGGGATATTTGGCTTATTTAAATATCTTAAAAGTTTTTTTTATCCGCAATATAAAGTTAACAGTGACTCACCACTGGTCAGGAAGTTGGTAGCCTTCTCCTTGATGGCTGCGGTCAGCTGCTGTGTGTTTTCCAGGTACTGGAGGATGTAAATGTTGGGGGCCAGGAGCGCCATGTTCTGCTCTCCACATCCATACGGCATCTTCAGCAGCCCATCCAGGTTCCTCAGGGCTCGGCCCAGAATGTCACCTGCACAAGAACATTAAAGAGGTGGTGTTATGTTTTTTGGCTTTTCCCCTCTCCTTTATTGAGTTATATCTCTTTTTTGTGCATGTAACAGGTTTGCAAAGTGAAAAATCCCCACAGAAAGCACTGCTCTGAACAGCTTGAAAACAGCTCGTTTTTAGTCCAGCCCTTCACTTACTTTACTTGTGACATCACAATGAAAACGCGTCATAAAGCTGTAAAGTGGCTAGCGGGGTCAGGCATGCCCTCAAACCAAGCTAGTCTGAGCGGAGGCCCTTTGGCTCGACTCGCCTTTGTTTGGTTTTCCATTGTAGAAATGTTATACCTGTACCTGCTTCCAGGTACTTTATTTCATATCACCTCACCTCCGTCAAGGTTCCAAGCGAGCTGAGGGATACTAAAATGTAGCATTCAATTCAATTCAATTTTATTTATATAGCGCCAAATCACAACAACAGTTATCTCACAGCGCTTTTCATAAAAGAGCAGGTCTAGACCGTACTCTATAATGCTATTTACAGAAGCCCAACAGTTCCCACCAAGAGCAAGCACTAGGCGACAGAGGCAAGGAAAAGCTTCCTTTTAAGAGGCAGAAACCGCGAGCAGAACCATGGCTCAGGGTGGGCGGACATCTGCCTCGACCGGTTGGGGTGAGAGAGAGAGAGAGAGAGAGAGAGAGAGAGAGAGAGAGAGAGAAATGCCTCGACCGGTTGGGGTGAGAGAGAGAGAGAGAGAGAGAGAGAGAGGGTAACAGAGGAACAGAGAGAAAAAGAGAGGGATGGAAGGAGAGAGAGGGGAGGGAGGCAGCCTACACAATATACACACAGAGGTACAGACAGTAAAGGTGATGTTGCTATAGACTAAATGAAAAATGGTACAGATATTTATAGTAGTGTTAATGGTAACAGTCGTAATGTTAATGATTATAATAACAATAATAACAATAGGGCTAGTAACAATAAAAAAACAATAAAAAGCAATGTACAGTATGAGAAAAATATGGTGTTTTTTGAAAATTAAACCATGTAAACCTGTTCTGGTACAACCACTAATTAAGATTTTGAACCTGAAAATTAGCATAATACCAGTCTTTAAGACTAATCATGTCATTAACCAGACTTGAAAGTTGTTGCACCACCTAAAAACATTTTGTTGTCCTGCCAGAATTCAATTTAATGTGTAAATTGTTACGAAAGCATGTTTTGTATTTTGACTTTATTAAATTCAATGAATTTATTTTCATTCTGCTTTGATAATCTTTCATTAAAATGTACAAATTTACATTACAATTTTCTCCGGTACACTAAAACAGTCTGAGCTTGTAGCAAAAAGAAGATCTTTTTGTGAACATATTTTTGAAGGGGCAAATTTGCCCTGAAAGAATATGCTGCAGTTACTGCAGCTGGTTCACGGCTGCTGGCTACTGCATAAATTCCAAACCTTTTTGCACCTGCTAGTCATTTCAACACCCAAAAAATTTGAAAATGGGTTTAAAAATACTGAAGTGATTCTTTAGGTAGAGTTTCCATATCATTAAACAGTTCACCATCATCCTATCATACCTGCCATACCTAATTCTACGCTTCTGGGTAGATGTTATTTTAAATTACATGTGAGATTTTAACCCTTTTGTTTACGGGAAAACCACATAACATTAGATTTGATTCAACTTTATTGTCATTATGCAGAGTACTGGTACAGAGCTAATGAAAGGAAACATACCACATGGGCAAGTTTCCCCATTGTTGGCAAGTAAGAATTGGCCACCTGGGGACTTGAACCCTGGGCTGTTTGCATCCTAAAAGAAGGTAACTTCCAGGCTGAGCCACTGGTGCGATCTAGACCCACCTTACTATTGAAAAGTAGTTTATCTATTTTTAAATATTATATACATCTTTAAAAGGACAAACCAGTCACAAGTCTATTTTTATTATTGATTCCATTATGAGGCTGGAGGCCGGAATATGTCTGGTTAAAACAACACTCTTTTTAAAATAAATTTATTAGCTTACCCAGGACTGATAGTGAAGCACGGGCAGATCCATCAATCATGTTCTCAGGGAGTTGGATGTCTATTTCCTCTGTCACAGCTTCCCCTGTGTACAGACAGAACAAACAGAGAGAAAGTACTGAAACAGTACTGAAACAAAGATCTAAGATTAAGGGATGATTAGTGAATTAAAACAGAGTCAGACTGGAAATCAAAAAATTGGAGGTTCAATGAACATGATCAGCTCTTCGATTAGATTAATACAATGTGAATTAATGTAATTTAAAAAATCTGACACACCTCCACTAAACTTGTCACAATTGCCATAATCACAATGAAACTAACTGCTACCTGCAAGTACTGAATGTTTATTGCATTTTGACATGTTATCTACTCGACTCCTAACACATAGCATTTGGCTCTCCTTTATGTAAACGTTTGACGTGCCATGCCTGGTGTAAACCATACTGACCTTTTGGGCAGAGCAGAAAGTTGTAGGTCTTTGTCATCTCAGTTCCCTCCGCCTAAGAGGAAGAAATAATATGACTTCCAAAGTTTCCAGCTTGTATTAAATGCAAAAAATAATGGTTAAACTTGTCTTTGTCATCTTGTTTTTAAGGTACCAACCTTTACTATGAGAGATCGTGTGACCACGTCGATACGTCCTCTCTCTGGAACGCTCACAATCTCATTGTCACATGAAGCATGGGATGCCACAGCCTCAGCCGTCACAGACACATTCACAACCCCTACAAAGATCAACAAACAGAGTGAAACTTGAGTAACAACTTCTTCAGATCCTGTTGTGTGTTTAAGTGTCACTGAGGTGTATTTCACTGATTTCATAGAGATGAAAAGTGGTTGTGCTGAGGAAAGAGGGACAGCAACCCTTTTGACACCAATGTGGATAAAAGCTTGATCCTCACCCAAGGCTGAGGGGGCCATGGTCCAGCTGAGGGTCTTGCGCTCACTGCCACACAAACAGGATGTGTACTGGTCACCAGAGAGCGGAGTGAGGGTGTAGTCTAAAGAGGGTGCTGGAGTCACAGTGACCTGTTCAGACAACAATATATTTTATAACTGGAGATTTATGACAAAAACAATTTTGACCTTTCTAAGGTGTATCTTGCAAATGTTTTTTTTCCAAGATGTCAACTTTTGATGTTCCAGTTGCTTACAGGTTTCAACAATGCTTTTATGGAAAGTGGCTTTGAAACATATTGATTCCACGTTGAAAAGGGAGTGGTTAAAATCTTTTTCTATGACAGACTGAGCAAAGTCTCCTGGGTTATGAGTTACTTTAACTCATTACCCAAATAATTAAATTCTGTTGTATATCCATATTTGGATTAATCGCGGTCTGAAATATATAAAAGGAGATCATCAGCATATAAACAAATTATGAGTAAATAATCTGTATTTATCCCTTGTGACCCTATTCAATTGCCACATCTACCACAGAAGCAACCTCAATGTGGCCTAGCATACATCTTATATATGACAACATAGGTAAAATACATCTATAGTGGAAGTAGCTAACTAGAGAGCTATTTAATTTCTTTCTCATCTCTGTTGAGAGTTTAACATGCGCTGCACAGATCACAGATGTTTTGGTTTTACAAAAGCACAGTGCTAGCTCTGCTAATAGCTAATTGTTACAAACAAGCTAAAATGAAAGCTGTAGGTCCGTAATAACTGTTTATCTTAGTTTGCCATGTACATTAAAATCTGTCACATATAAACTCAGCTGGTGGCTGAGACAAACCTCTCTACCAGCAGCAGCAGAAGGAGGAGGGCAGGAGGAAGGTGTGACGGGGAGCTTGTCATTCTTTTTAAACATCACTCAATATTTTGATGTCAGGAATATGATTTAATTTTACTGACATTTTAGATTTTCCAGTGAGATATTAGTGACTTTGCTGTTGTAAATCATGTAGCCACTCTAGAAACAACATTTAGTTATAATACAAATTTTGAAACATATTTTTTAATAGGCAATTATTTAGTAATGAAAAAGAAGTATCGATAAGGTGTATTGATAAGGAGTATCAATAAGAAGTATCAATAAGAGGGTATCAATAAAAGCCCATCCCAACTTGTGAGATAATGCCAGGCCCATCTCCATGTCCTGGTTTCAAAATTTGGCCCAACTGAATTTGTAATAGCCCTGCCTAAAGTCTTCTTCTCAAAGAAGTGGCAGTGGTTTAATAGCTGGTTTGAGAAATGCCTAAGGAATAGGGGACTAAGAGAACAACCCCATCTGGATCCTCTATAAAGAGTTAAGTATTCATATAGAACAATGTTAGTACAAAAAGAAACCAGATGTGAAAGATATAGGTATTAAAGGAGCTATATAGTTTTTTTATGAAGTGAATCAATTTTTTTTTATTGCCGATAACAATCCACTTGCAAGTTTCTTTGTTGCCTTTGTTGGCCAGTATGCCTAATCCTATGTCAAGACTCTGGATCAGATTTTCCGGGAAATCCTTTGGCTGTTAGTGCATACATGCTCCTGAGCTTCTTGCCTTCTGATTCTGAGCTGTATACACAGCAACCTCCGCAGCTAATGAGATGGAGTCTGCTAAAACACAAAAACGACCGGCTCCCAGCACAACACAGACTCCAACACAAACTCAAAAATGCAATCAGTGTACCATTATCATGTAACGAGCATGAATAAGAGCAACCTCAAGATGATTACTGTAACATTGCAGTGGGAGTTTAAATGAGTTCCAGCATGTTGTGTGAAGCTCTCCTGGTGTTTTGGTCTCTGTTTGTCCAATTATGTTTGCTCATGAGTTTGAGCGCACAACGGTTTGCAATCTAAAAACTGCAGTAGCCTACAGATTTTATTTTAGACAGAGACTCAACAACATGGTGCTCTGAAAGCTCTGCAAACTGGAAATGTTTTATCACAGAAGCAAAACTGCAATGCTTGAACACTTTAAGCAAAATCAAAGCGGAAAACAAGCACAATATATACCAGTCTGGTTTTCAATCACAGCACTGAGACAGCATTGGTAAAAATTGTTAATGATCTTAGATGGAACATGGATATGAAGAAACCATCAATATTAATGCTACTTGTGCAGCTTTTGATACAGTAGATGACTCAATTCTTTTAAACAGACTGTACAATCTGATTGGCCTCTCAGGTTCTGTTCTTAATTGGTTCTGATCATATCTCACTGATAGAGAATTCTTTGTGTGTATTGATGAATCTTTATCCAGAAGACATAAAATGAATTGTGGTATTCCACAGGGCTCAATTTTAGGCCCTACCCTTTTTAATCTGTACATGCTGCCGCTTGGAGACGTCATCAAGAGCCACGACATCAATTTTCACAGTGTAGTGGGACATCAGTGTGGATTTGTGTATTTTATATTAAATAAATTTGAACTACTCAAAACTATGCCCCTCTTCCCTGAGAGAGAGAAGCAGGAAGGTGGAGATCAACTTTCAACAGACGGCTGAAGAGACCCCAACAGAGTGGGGGTGGAGGTCACTCTCTCTAAGTGCTATTCCTGAGCAGTTGATCGTAAAACTGGCCATCTTTGACAACAGCCGAGATAAGTCTCTCGGTGCCTGACTGTTAAACAGACAAAAGGGACATTAACCAGCGATTAGCATTTCCGTGAACAGCCTATCGGAACTCTCCTTGGAGGGGGGCAGGAAATCCTAAACTGCCCCCCCCCCCCACACACACACACACACATGTGACCGTGGCAACTGACCTTGCTCTGTGTTTCATTACCCCATCAAAGGGATACCCCTTCACGCGTAAGTGACAAAATCCAGGACCGTCCTGAACTTTGTGTAAACGACTGCAGTCTCCAAAGACTCAAAGCATTAACTGTTTAATTAAATCTTTTAGTTACTTGATTATGTTTGCCTCTATTTAAGTAGTTATGTTACCATGTTGTTGCTATCTGTTGTTGATATTATTGCTGAAAAGAATCTAAATAAGTTACTTTTGCAGTGTTTTTATTTTCAGCAAGATTAAGGACACCCCTTCATCTTATGTGCAACCAATGCTTTTTTTTTTATTAACCAATACTTTCTCACATAATTCCTTTAGAAATGATGATAAAGAAATGTCATACTATACTCTATTAATCGCCAGCTTGAATTTAAGGCTAAATAATTAAATTCCCCAGTTCCTAAGGAAAGATTGTTTTGGATTAATTTAAGCTTCCCTCGTGTAACCTGAGCTCCCCCAAGTGGACGAAATAAGTATTACATACCATCGTCGGAAATGCCGTTAATGCATAAATGTCACTCATTACTTAACATGACCAATAATGTGACAATTGTTACCAAATGCTTAACTTAGAACAGTACAACTGTTTGACCACTGAGGTTTGATTGTGGAAAATATTTTATTATAATACGCGCAAATAAATTTTCTTTTCTTTTATAGACATTAAAAGTTTAGAAAAACAGTCCCAGGGGAAACCGGAAATGCTCCCTGTCGGGAACAAAGGACTGCCCTCTGGGGAACCACGCCCCAGACAACAAAAGAGCGACACACGACGTCGCCCGCTCTCTTCTCTTCTCTTCTCCTCGTGCTCTTGCCTTCTGCTCTGCTCTCTGGATGCTTCGGCACTCGTCCGGAGTGCCTCTCCAGGCAACGCCCTAAGAATTCCCACCAGTGCAACGAAGTCTTTGTTTCGCTTGAAGCTACATACGCAAAGTGCCGCAACATCGATTTTTACCTCAGTTCCAGCAACTTTACTTGTTTTATTTTCTTTCTTTCTTTTGTTTTGTTAAAGTTATCAGTCCCTTAAGTTACACTGGTCTAATTCAGGAACGACCAAATTCCTTTTTTAAGCTATGTCGTCGAGCCAACTTCACCGAGGTCGGACTTTTTAACTCCTAAACTCACAGCTTACTTTCATTAGTTCTCCTCTGCCGTATAAGTCAAATGCTTCCCACAATCGAACATCCATTCTCATTTAGCCATTGCTTATTTTCACTGATGTATTTTAACCACCTTAGTTACTTAATATATTCACTGTAACCAAGAAATTGTGCGTGTTGACTATTTCTACGTCCCTGCCAAGAGAATTTGCCCTTTAGATATGAGACTGACTGATTGATTTAAGATAATTGAGCGATTATTAACTAACTGATCACTAGTGAATAATTGTATAATTATTAAAAGCTACCTAGAGGTCTGAAGATTTCATACCTAAGTTAGACATGCTACAACAGTTATGCTGATGACACCCAGCTCTACATTGCCGTGTCCCCTGATGACCCAGGACCAGTAGATGCCCCTTGTAACTGTTTTCTAAACATACAGTCATGGATGGCAGAACATTTTCTGCAGCTCAATCAGGACAAAATAGAAGTATTGGTCATTGGTTCTGAATCTCAGAAGGAGAAACTCAAAACGAAACTGCGAATGCTGGCACTAAATCCCTGTGTTAAGGTAAAAAACCTGGGAGTTATCTTTGACTAAGATCTCAGTTTTGAGTCACATACTAGAAATATTTCTAAGACTTCTTTTTATCATCTCAAGAACATTGCTAGAGTATGACCCTTTCTCTCTCAAGGAAATACAGAGACGCTTATCCATGCTTTTATTACCTCCAGGATTGATTACTGTAATGCTCTGCTTTCTGGTCTTCCAAAAAATATCTAAACTGCAGCTGCTTCAAAACGCTGCTGCACGTCTTTTGACTAAGAGCAGAAAGAGAACACACATTACCCCTATCCTAAAGTCCCTGCATTGGATTCCAGTTCATTTTAGAATTGATTTTAAGAGTCACTTAATGGTGTTGGTCCAGAATACTTATCAGATTTGCTGTTACCTTATGAACATTCTAGAACCCTCAGGTCCTCTAGTAGAGGCTTTTTAATTATTCCTAAAGCCTCAACTAAAACTTATGGTGAGGCGTCCTTTCAATGTTATGGCCCACGTTTGTGGAACACCCTTCATGTTGAGCTGAAAGCAGCAGGAAATCTGGAAATGTTTAAAGGCAAACTAAAGACATACCTATTTAACCAAGCCGAGCTGTATTTATTTGAGTTAGATTAAACGTTATTTACTATACTTGCTATTGATGAGCTGTTTTTCTAGTGCTTTTTGTCCTGGGGTCCTGGGGTTTTAGTGTTTTGGAGGTGGAGGGGATGTCTTTTTTTTTTTTTTAACTATTGTTTTGAAATGGCTCTGTAGTGTGAAGCACTTTGTGTTACATGTATTGATATTGTATGTTATTGATATGTATGATAAATTGTTATATTAATCAAGTAATAAAAAAATGTGTTTAGATTAATCATGAATCACTAAGTCATTAGATTAATCGACTAATCGAAAAAACATCGTTAGGTGCAGCCCTACCATACTATATTACCAAGTGTTAGAAACTAAGATGACGAATATGGTAAACATACTGTACCTGCTCAACATTTGTGTTGTTTTTTTTTTTAACAAACCAGTGAATTTATTCTTGCCTTACGAAGTGTTTTTTGCACTTGGGTCCTAAATCTGTTTTCCTGCCTCTGCACTCAACACCCAATGTAACATGATATAGGGTCTTGATCCTAGAACCACAGCCTATGTTTTGTCCTGATATTTACAATATTTATTTATTTGTTCTACATAATCCTAATTTCCCTGAGAAGACAAAATGTGATGTATTAGAATGACATAATGTTTAAACACAAGATGACTATGACAGTAAGAGTTTGTGTGGAATTCGGTCAAAATGTTGATGCTTTACCACAGACAACCAGTAACGTGTTGGTTAATCACAAATTATCAGTATAAAAGTATTTGGTATGAAAAGGAATTTTCCAGAGGACGAAGTGTAATAACTTTGCTGATCCCTCAACTTTTTATCTAGCGCCATCATCAGGTTAAATATTCAATCTACCCAATATTTTGATTTATATACCTGCAAAACTAATGATTTTCCATCAGTCTCAGCTATACTTTGTGTTTATTGCTAACTAGCAACTGTTAGCATGCTAACACTAAAATAAGATGGTGGATAGGGTAAACATACCTGCTAAACATTAGCATGTCAGCATGCTGCCATTATCTTCTAGCAGGGTTTTTACTGGCGCCTTTGGGGGGGTGACTTCACGCGAATCACCTTATGACCGAAATCTATGCATTTTCTTGTTATTTCTGACCATTTGATAAACAAAATATATCCTGTTATGAACCTGGGGTCATATTTTGTTTGTTTGACATACTGACATAAGTGCCTTCGTCACTCCCGATCATTTTCTCCAGTATACAGTCATGCCATTCGGTCTGAGAAATGCCCCCGCTACTTTCCAGCGGTTGATGAACACGGTCCTATGTGGGGTTGACAATTGTGAAGTTTATTTGGATGACATAGTGGCCTATTCATCAACGTGATCTGATCACATGAGCGCTTGTGTGCTGCCTCCCTTACACTCAATCTGGCTAAATGTGAGTTCGGGAAGGCTATTGTTACCTACTTAGGTAAACAAGTAGGTCAAGGTCGTGTCTGCCCAGTTACTGCCAAAGTATAGGCAATCTTAGATTTCCCAGAACCTCAAACATGTCGTGAGCTCTGTCGTTTTCTGGGGATGGCTGGGTTCTACCGTGCGTTCTGCAAAAACTTTGCTGATGTGGTAGCTCCTTTAACTAGTTTGTTAAGCCCCAAAACTCTTTTGCAATGGCTCAGAAGAATGTCAGTTGGCTTTCGAGGCTGCCAAAGTTCTCCTCTACAGTGCGCCTGTGCTCACCACCCCAAACTTCACTCGTCCATTTAAGCTGGAAGTAGATGCCAGTGCGCTTGGTGCGAGCGCAGTGCAGGAGGATGAGCGAGGCATTGATCACGACAGCATCATGACATCATGACAGCAGCCATCTTAAGCCCCACTGACAGGAACTCCTCTCTCTCTCTGTCATTCCCAACCTGAGCCTGTGAACTGTGTGTTATGTCTGTTAGTCGTGAGTAGAGAACTGTTGGGATTAGATGAGATTTGTTAAGTGAATCTGTGTAAATTATCTTTGTAATTCTGATTGTCGTTGACAACCTTATTTTGTTATATACAGATGTTTCTTTGTTGTAGCTTCCTTGTGTGCAAGTAGCAGTGTGTAGTAGTGAGAAGTCCTTTTTGTTTGCACCCTTTTTCTCCTGTTTTTGAGATTAGAAACCTAGTTTAGAGCTTTTGTCTTTTCTTTACTTTCTGTTTTTGGTTTAGGAAAGTTTTAGGTTAATTAAATTGTTTTGGTTTGCTCATCTCTGAAGCTAATAAAACTGCTAAATTGTATTTCCTGTATTCTGGCCTTGTTTGGGAATGGTAAGAGTGGGAAGCCACACTTTTATGTTGCGTCCAGGATAGCCCTAGACCTTGGGACGTAACAATCCACCACAACCTAGAGTAAAGGTATAAAAGCAAAGTATAATGTTAGTATAACATATTTACAGGTTACACCTGATTTGGATAATATGCCTACAGAAAGTTTATTAGTTAAAATTCAGCTTTTTTCACAAATGGAACCTTTCTCAGATTTTTAGCCTGCATCACTGTGGTTAAAGTTTGATTAGTGCTAATGTTTGTGTATTCATTATAATTTCAGATAATAATATAGGCTACTATAGCTTACCATTAGTAGCCTATAATAATTCCAGTTGGACAAAACAGCAGTTTCATTTTTGTCGGCGGTTTTCAGTCATTCAATTATTGTATAAGACAAATGCTCTACTTGGTGATCAGTCTCATTTGTTTATGCAAATTAAATTGTCAGTAATAACGACATACAGAACAAGGAGTTCAGCATTTCTAAACTTTGCTGTAGTGCCTCAACTTTTTTTTTTTTTATGTCCCGCCTCCTCCTGGCTATGATTGGTCAATTCACGAAAAGTGACTGACGAGCAGCTATGCACACGGCTGCGTGAAAGGCTCACTATCTCCCTGGGTGCTTCTCAAGTCTCTTAATTGCATCCACATTTCCTTCACTTGCGTGGAAGGAAACCAAGCCAGGAGAGAAAGAACGAGGAGTCCTTTCCTCCCAAGCGTCACGTAAAGAGTCATCCATTTCTGATGATGGCGGCAGCTGATCACAGCTGGATCAGCTGTCAGTCAGCTCTAACAATACAGACTTTTGATGGAGTTCGTGTCTACATGTGCACTGTGTATGTACTAATAAAGTCTCTCAGTTATCAGTGCAGGGCAGCATGGTAAGACTTTGCAGTGATGCACTTTTATGAGTTTAATGTTCTGTCCTGATGTATCAGATCAGTCCGATCAGCTGCAGCGTCCAATCAATATAAGGGCTACCCAATAAGGGGGCGTGTCGGTCATTGAAAGACTTCCGTGAAAGATGCACTGGTGTATCCTCGCTCATAGCTCCTCAAAGATTGCTCCTCGATCCTCAGAGCGCAAATAAGAGCAAGATGCAAGATGGTGGAGCGGAACAACTTCCAGTTCAAGCAAGGAGCGAGCAAACAACAAATAAGAGACTTGAGAAGCACCCCCTGCAGAGATTAGCAGGAAGGGGAGAACGGGAACAGGTGAGCGCCATGTAGTGCCCAGAGAACCTGATCTGGAGAAGGCAGAGGAGAGGACCGGTGCTGGTACACCAAAGAGTAAAACGTAAAAGTGATAGTACCAATGAATACCGTGCACACTTCTAGCACAAACAGCTTTTAAATTGTGAGAAATAACAGGAAGTCATCGCTCCCAGTAGCGCGAGCTCAGCTTCATAGCGGAGCGTTCAGGCGCAGCAGCTAGTTTATTAATCCAGCACCTGCTGCACGTGTAAAATAAAGCGCTGTGGATGAGAGGAGAGGTGACTGCTGGAAGACAGGATGTCATATTTAAGTTTATGTTCTGCTTGCTCAACAGTTGATTGATAATGGCTATTAATACACATTCGGAGAGGATATGAAACGCTTTTTTCCCCAATTCTGATCATTTGGTGATTTTCCTTTGGCGCTCGCTAAAACCTCTTTGGGGGCGCCAGAAAAACCCAGTCTAGGTCATTGGTTACCATGATGCAGCTGGACAGGTAGTTGAAGGTGGTTGCCTTCAGTTCAAAGTGCTCCCCCCGGATGATGGAGTAAGGCAGGCTGAGCTCCAGGAAGAAGGGCTGGAAGACGGTGATCTCTTTACGAGGAGCCAAGCCAAACCCCTGAGGGGACAAACAGAAAGCCTCCGTCTCCCAGGTGGTGATGGTGTCTGGGACAGTGAGGGACACATCCTTTGTTCCAGACTCTCTGAACCAGCAGATACACACAGACACATTCAGTGAGCTGGAAACATACTGACATAACTCAGATTAGACAAAGAAAAACAATGTGAGAAGATGATTAATGTGTAGGATTAACTGCACCAATAACACTACATTATAGTTACTATGATCTAAAATATCTTGAGTACATCTAAAATTGTTTATTTCATATGCTGCATTGATTTCAGTCACAAAAGTTCCGTGTTGCTGAAGAAACTCAATAATTTCTCAAGCTACATAAGTATCATAACGGTGGGCATGATGCACACTAGCCCAAAAGGGTTTTTTCTAATACACGATCATGATAAAAAGAAACTGTAACTATATGTCCCTTAGTGTCACAAACATTTTAAAGGGACAATAATTATTTTGTATAACAATCTATTGAATTAATTTAATTAACATAAAAGTCTTGATGAGCGGTGTCAGTTTATTATCTTTGTGCAATTAATGTGTGCAGGCAAATGCAGTTATGATCATCAAAGCTCTTTGTGACAGAAGCTCACCCAACTTCCACCAGGTCCCAAATCCAGGTCTCAGGGAAGAAAGTGCGGACTGTCTCTATTGGTGATGAAAGTGATCTAGCATATCCGAGAGCAGGACCAGGTACACCACTCAATCCTTCCGCTATTACCCCTTCATTCAATAAAATATTCCATCAGTAGCAGAGCGTAGCAATAACACAGTGAGCTGTATAAATGTTGGTAAATATTCAGTATCTTTCGATAAAGCAAAAAAAAAAAGTCACCATGGCCATGGTGGTATTCTCTTCCTTTGTATTTGACGCACCGAGGAACTCTGAGAACCAAGTTTGTTGCTATCTTCAGCCCTACATACTAGGTTATTCAACAACATACAACATACAAATGTATAACAACAAAATTTATGAATATATTCTTTAGATTGTATTTTTGTTTGTTTTTTTGCAGGAAGTACCTGGAAAACTGAATGAAGATGATCTTCATTGACGCCTCCAGGGTATGGCACATATCTTTTAGGTCTCACATGCAAGCATTCATCAGGATCTTGAACCTCATATGGAATATAGGATGCTGTTCTGACAGGCAAGAAGGCAAATATCTGTAAAGAAAGGTATGATTCAGCTAAGAAGCTAAGAACTGCAAAATGTTTGTTTTATGAAGATGTGACAATTAGTAAACTGCTGTAAAGTGTATCTGTCAAAACAGTGTCTTTATACATACATTACACTCACAGAGGGATACACCTCACATATATCATAACGTCTTTGTATAGCAATGTGGTGTATAACATATGTGCATTTGACCATTACAGTTTAACATAATGCTCTGTAGCTGGGGACAGTGAACCCTTATGGGGACAGTGAACCCTTAAGGGGAAGTAATGATTGATGGGTGTGCAAAGAGTGAACCCTTCTATGGAATTTGACCTCTGACCCAGTGTTAGGGGGAGTAGAGATTAGTGTGTATGAAGAGATTAGTGTGTATGAAGGGACTGTACCCTTCTGTGGTGTCTAACAGATGGTTACACTTAGTCTACAGCACTGTGCCCTTATATGGTATTTAGCAGAGACCTAAACATGTCCTATATAAGCTGTGTTCAATGTACAGAGAGACAGAGTGGTTATCGGGCTGGGTCACTCTCCAAGCTGCTGCAGAGCTTGTAATTGATGCTGAATTCTTTGATGTAATAAACTTTTATGATCAAGAACAGTGTCAAGCGGATTTCTTCTCAACACATCATCGCAGCATTATCGTTCGGACACCACAGCAGTTTTATAACAGTGAGGTAAAACTGGGTAAACAAAATCAGCATTTAACAGCTGTATTACAGAAAAGGAAGAAAGATTATCCATGACACAAGGACATTAGGAGCAGCAGAATTAAAATGTCACCTCTGATGATGTTAACAGAGCAACAGATTATGCAGAGGGAATGTAAATGAAATGAATGTGCACCGCTTGGATCGGTTGATTCTAGCAGTTACCTTGTCTGCATTCAGAGTCTTCCCTGGCTCCTTGATGAGGACACTCTGGTCGACAGCACTCACACCACACAGAGAGTCTGGCTGGGCCGTCACCCGCAGGATGGTTTCCTCCCCTGGAACAGCTGAGGGCGGAGAAAACTCCAACGACACCTGACACATACAGAAAACACATCATGCCATCTGGACTTCAGTGGTGTAAGATCAGAACCTATGTCACAAATGTGGATTTACTCTCTCACATCTCCCAGATTGATTTTTTTATCAGATTTTTTATTAAATCACTGACAGTGACGAGGTCAGGTTTAAATGCTGCACTTTATACATTTATATAACAATCCATTCTTTTTGTATTGGCTAACTGAACTTAACTTTGATTTGTATGCAAGCTTTAACCACAGTATGAATTAACTTGTAGAATAACTAGTAAGCACTGCACCTGCACACAGATTACACCACCATACGCCTGGAATATCAGGTTAAAGTAATTAATTCGACAACGTGAAAAAAATGTCCTACTTTCCCTAAAGAGTTACAAACTGACCTTTTGAAAAACAAATATACACTTTGATTCTACACGTGGCAGATGTAGATCTGACAAGCACAGTGGCTGCCGCGCGTCTTCTTCTCTCACTGACCTTGTGACTGAAGCATTTCTCGGTGGAGAAGTCAGCACTGTTGGCGATCACAGTCTCACTGGGGAGGACGGCGTAAGCTACAACCTGGACCTGTGGTGCCATCTCTGCAGACACTGTCAACTTGAAGGACACCTCTCCCTCAGTCACTGAAACAACATACCAACTGTCATCATTCACATGCCTCCATAGGTCAAGAAAATGCAGCTCAAAGGTGATCAGGTCATGCTAATTTAAAGGGTGATTTTAATGTGTTGTCCACCTGATTTATCTTGTACTTCAACGTGCTTAACTCCTTGCATGAGAATGGCTCCTCTGGATAAGACCTGGAGAATTTGAGAGAAAACGACAGAATGCAACAGTAAATGTAAATGCTCTGTATTTGTATAGCGCCTTTCTAGTCTTTGCGACCACTCAAAGCATTTGCACTACATTGCATTCACCCATTCACACACATTCATACACTGAGCCTAATGCTGCGTTCCAGGCAACTCAGAACTGGGAAATCGACCTCCAACTAGAAAACTTTCCCGAAACACCACCTGAAGTTGGATTTCCTACTTGTGAACACGGAGAAAAAATATGTACCCCGACTTCAGGAGTAGCAACCGAATGACGTCAGAAAACAATGTCCGCGCCCATGGAAGCACACACTCTAAATGGTAAACCATAAACTAAAAGGAACTATATTTGCATGTATTTAAATTAAAATAATACATAAGATCATATAGTAAAACCTGTTATGCATGTACACTGATGTAGAAATATGTTAGGCCTATTAGGTAGCTGGCTACAGTAAAGAATCTCATAAAGTCATCCTCTCTGTATAAAAGTGTAACCCATAACACTGACTGACTTGAGGGTTACCAACTGATGTAAATGTAATGACGGTAAATATGGCAAAAAGAAAGAAAGAGGAAAAAGAAATGTGTGGTGCCGAAAAATAAGAATTAAAAAGAAAAAGATGTCGGCACACGACACAGCTGAATGTGCCACAGTAACCGACCGCTTCCTTGGTAGAAGTTGCTGTGGCACGTGACAGATGAGGCAGGACCCAGCAAGCAGAAGAAATAGGTGCACTATTAGTAATGCATTTAATATATATATATTAATTTGCAATGTGTTACCACTCCAAGACAACATCCTTCTATAAGCGAGGAATCTTTGTGTTTGTATGTATATTAGTTGTTAAGGTCAGTGGAGGTGAGGCAGAGGGACAGGGTGATGATGACCCCAGTCATGTTGATGAGGAGGGAGAGAAGCAATAGGAGGAGCTACAGGAGGAGGAGGAGGAGAAGGACAATGGAACCAGAAAAAACATCGTCAGGGACAGGGGCAGTTTGCAGGGCTGAGTAGGAAATCATATGTAGAGATAGAATTAGAAATTGTATTATTGTTACATTGTCACATTTATTACTGCTGTTTTTCTCATGCATATGTATCTGTACAATCACCAGAGTCAGGGTCCAGCACAGGGGAAGCTAACCAGGAAGAGGCCAACTCAAAGCTGAAGAAGAGGGATTTTATGGGACTGTATTGTAGTTTTTTATTATTTGTTATTATTTGCCAGGATGGATGATGCAGGGCTCTACAGAGTATTTCACTTGCATATATCCCAAAAATAAATACATGGGAAGCGGAAAAATGATTTATGAGCACAATGTGCGAGTAAAGACTACAACCTACCGTAATTGTTCTGCATGAATGTTATGATTATTGACAAGTATTTACTTAGCATTAATAAATTAAAGACCAATGTAGACTTGTTTTTCATGGATTTTATAAATGGAAACATTTCACAAAAATTAAACTGCTGTAACACTGGGCAGTGTTGGGAAGGTTACTTTGGAAATGTAATAGGGTAACTTATAATCGGTAACCTATTTAAAATGTAACAGTAACCCAGGTTAACTATTACTCTATCAAAGTCATTTAACTTACCACATTTCTAGGGCTGACCCTGAATTGTCGAAGATTCGATGCTTCGATGGGCGGAGCCTGATTCTACTGTTAATCTCACAGTCGAAGCTTCGCAGTGAAACGAGGATCATGCCATTTTGGCGATATGGGGGTGCTCAACGTCTGTTTTTACATAGAACCACCAGTTTTCTCCCAATAAGTTAATATACAGCCTATTACAATATACATTTCAACGTTTAATGCTGTAAATAAAAAAATTAGAAAAGAACTAAGCTTTTAATAAATGTTTGTGTGCGTGAATAAATCCTGATTTGTAATCCCAACCCTCAAGGTAGGGGGCATCTGTTCGCATGTGTAGTGAACACTTTTGCAAGGCATTGTATGCATGCTACATTCACATTAGGGGCTGAGCAGCCCTAAAGGTCTGATCCTAGAATCGCCCCTGATACAAAGCATCTCAGCTAAACAGACTAGACAGAGAGATTTAGCTTGTTTATAACTAGCTAACCGAGCTAGCACATGTGCTTGTGTAAAACCAAAATACAGCTGCGGTGGATGAGACAGAGCAGATTAAAATATTGCTTTGTGCATGTTTCTGCTTGTTATACTGATGCAGTATCAGCATTTTACTGGTACTAGTACTGCAGCACTTACTTACAGTAACGTAGCGTGTAGGCGTAGTTATGGTCAACTTGTGTAAGCTACACTGATCTCTGCTAACAAGCTACACTCGGTGTGTGTATGCGGAGCTCTGCTGAGAGAGGAGGGGAGGGGCTGCAGCGTGGTGGCTTGCGCGTTCTTTTGGCTACTCCCGCACAATGATCAGAGTTTATGACTATTACTCGTGACTTGTAACCAATCAGCTAGCACTGTGGGTGGGATATTGCTCCAGCCCATAGAGGGGTGAGTACAGATAGAGAGAGGTGGCTGCATCAGGCCGATTATCGGTCGACCCCTAGTCCATGTCTCTGGAAGAGAACCACTCACCAGATACATCACATCCACAGAGCCCTGGGTCTCTCCAACTACAGTGTATTTGATGGAGATGTCTTCTTCTCTGTCACAGAGAAGTAGCTGATCCTTCTTCTTCACCTCCAGGGTGCTGGCTGTTTTAGTATCAGGAGAAAAAGGTTCGGCCATAGACAACATGTGATCTCCAACCTCATAGTATGGCATTCTATAACCAACGTGGTCCAGCGTCTGTTTGTTGCTAACCTAGATTGCAGAAGAGAAACACCATAAATAAGCTCAAGTGAGTTCAGTTCTTACAGCTAAAGGAAATGTCTAGGTATAGAAATAGTAAACAGTTCCTATATGGCCAGAATATTGAGAGGTTAGGTTTCAGCTTTTGACTGCATGATGGCTTACAGGCTGTTAGTGCTACCTGTTACTTACGTGGAGGTGGACGTATCCTTCAAAGTCAGCAGAGCTGAATGAGAAGGTGGCAATCCCATCACTGTCAGTTGTGAGGTTCTGTACCAGACGTGCTGACCACCTTACACCCGCAAACAGGTACACTGGCATGTCAGGAATGGGTGTATTATTGTAGTAAACTGCTTTAACCTGTTGGAAGCACAAAGTTGTATCATGGCTTCATTTGCACTGTGAATAGAATCCAACTGAAGAAGTGGGGACCACATGCACTTACTTTTCCCTCCACATTTGATCCTTGGTCATAAATCTTGGGTGTGTCAATGAAGGACAGCTTTCCAACAACATATGAAATCCCTATTCTCTTCCTCTGTGGTTGTGAAATACCTGTACAAGAAGCTTCCATGTTACAACAATGTTTAAACACATGACATTGTAATTTTCTTAATATATCAGCTCTCTTTTTAAAATGTAAATATAATATAAGATATTATACTTGCCTGTCCCCTCCTCCTCTACCTTGGCACTGAGGTCCAGTATATCTTCTAGTGCTTTTTGGTCATGTTTTGTGAAAGTTGACATCTTGAAGGTAAAAGTGACACAGCCTTTCTTGTCCATCTAGAAAGTACAATATATAACTATTATTATATATTATTGCCTGCCTGCCCACTCTCTGTCACCATGTACCGGAATCTACTACCAACGTTCTGTCAATTAATCCTCTGTTATTTCACCCTAATCCTGTGTCTGCTCCTGCATCCTTTTGCCATGCTCACCAGAACGATCTGGCCACGACATGGATCCAGTAGATACGGGGTCGGAGGCTGCAAAGAGCCAGTCCGTCCTCAGCCATCAGAGAGTTTTGCTTGGACAACACAACCAGTTGATCTGGACGCTCTTGGAGGAAAGGCAAGCCATGAATGATCAATTGTCTTGTTTAACTGAACAAGTATCTACACTAACCCGCTAAGGCCAGCCAGCTCTGCCAGCGCCGCCTCCGCAAAGGGAGTCCTATGCACCGGATGCCAAACCTTTTTCGGTGAGTTAAATAAGTGCCGGGGATTTTTGCTTCAATGCTCAGTGTTTTTTTCTCAGTGCCCCTTAACCTTTTACTCGGATCATTCCACGATTCGCTACATTCTGGGACTGTTAAGGGGGAGCGCATTGACGTGGGCTGAGGCTGCTAACGCTAATTTACCTGTCTCCTCTCTGACTTTCAACCAGTTTATTTCTGCACTCAAGGAAGTGTTTGATCACCCCGACCATAGTGGCAACTAGGGGTGGGAATCGCAGGGTACCTCACAATATGATACACGGCTCACGATAATGATAATATCACGATACAGCAATTCTGCGATAATCAATATATCGCTTGACAATCCTAAAGTTATCCATCACGATATCTGTCTAACTATTAATACAAAATGCCCATGAAAAAGTTATTTTTTATTTGCTATTTATTTGCTGCAAATCCAAACTTTTAGAAAACTGTAAATAAAACTACAGAGCAACTATGAAAAATTATTATGAAAACATTTGTTTATAAAAAGGCACATAAAATACAAATTCACTGAATTTTTTACTGCAATCACAAATTGCTGTGTACCACCTAAGTCTAATCTGTACATCACATTATATTATAACTGTTCAGTGACACAGCATTGTGCTGCCCTTCCTCTTCCTACTGATAGCTGTATTTTTAGGCCACTGGGAATATTGGGTTTGACCCTTTGGGGTTGCTGTAGCTGGTCTGTGTGACATGCAGAAGCAGTAGATTAATGTTAGTAGATCAAGACAGTGAAGTTAGCAGCTCTTTTTTATTTCACAGAGCTCAGGAAACATGTACTTTAAGTATTTGCACAGTATGTAACTCAGGATGTTCAGCATGTGAAGCAAAATGTGTAGTTTATGTTAAGATTGTATTTTCGCGATCACGATGCTAATGTCCGTTAGCAAGTTAATGGAGATTCCTATTATATGTTAGCATTGAGCTAACCGCAGAAGCGCTATTTTTTTAAATATTATGTATGGATAAGATGGACTGGAATATTGATACAATATCATGGAAAAATGTACAACGATATATTGCCGTATCAATTAAAGCTGATGATACACAGAGCAACTTTTAGAGCAATCGTGCAAGGCAACGTTGCCGTCAATGGTAATGAGTAAAGAATACTACCGTAATCCCCTTCCCCCACCACTCCGCCACCCGCACCGCACCGCCACTATCCGTTCAAAAGATAGTCGGACTTGCCACTAGCAACATTGCCCAGCAACATTGCTCAAAAAGTCGCCCCGTGTATCATCAGCTTTATTATGACACTCCTAATGGCAACGCTGCTAGACAGCTGTTAAACCTCTGGCAAGGGGCTGATTATTCCATTGAGTTCAGGACCATAGCTGCAGACTCAGGTTGGAACGATACAGCTCTCCTGGGTACATTCAGAAAATGGGTCAGTGAGAAGATAAAAGATGAATTAGCTTCTCGAGAAGAACCAGACGACTTTTCCACTCTGGTCTCTCTGGCTATACGCCTGGACAACCACCTGCGAGAGCGGCGCCGGGAGCGGTCAGTTTGTTGCCCCTCCTCAGCCATATGTCCCTGCTGTGGGGTCCCCTGAGCCCTGAGAGGTCCCAGTAGGGCTGAAACGATTCATCGATTAACTCGATAAAATTGATTGATAAAATGCTTTGACAGAAATTCTTTGCATCGATGCTTCGTTTAATACATGTAACTATACAGCACAGTGTTTCGCACGAACATTTGTTACTATTGCACATCGCGTTTGCGCTGTGAACATGACGTGATTATGATGGCGCTGTTTGAAAAGTGGAGGAAGAGAAAGAAAACAGTGAGGGACAAAAAAGAAAGTGTCCCAAGTATGGGATTATTTCAAGCTAAAGAAAACAACAACTCTGTAATTTTACCGTCCACCGTAAAACAAAACATTTGTCGCCTCAGCAACAGCATGACGGCGCCTTATCAGAAAGCCCCCGGTGTTCTGCCAGCGGACCACAGACAAGGTAACAGTAACAGCAACTTTAGCATTTAACTGAAATCATGATTGATTGTTGAGTTGAAGGCTAGCCAAAGTAAGCCGCAGTCCTGAGCTGAAAATGTTCACACGTGCGTTTGTTGTTCTCCATTTTGGGCCGTGAGTTGTAACCTCACAGTCATGAGTTAACTGGGTGTCAGGGGAGCTGTACCTTTTAACTCCCCTCCAGCTCTCTGTAGCTCAGACAATCCCTTCTACCTGCATGTGCTAATCCATCCTTTCAACCATATTCTTTATAATAACAAACAGCTGTTTCGTGTGCAGGATCGCTCATTTCCCGTTTCACATTTCACGTGTGTTTTCTTGATAAAAGGGGTTTGGAAACCAGCGGCAGGTGCCATAAGTGTTGTTAGCTCCTGTAGTGTGTGTGACCCCCTGTCACCGATCAGTCACGTAGCGTGAACGCCACAAAGATTTCAAGACTGACGTCATATTATGGCAAGTTGTGTGAACTGCACGGCCATTGGTCAACGCTGAAAGTCGTGTAGTCTGCACGAGCCTGTAGTATAACTTGTAAAGCATTCGGGTGATGTTTGTGTTTGTAAAGCAGCTATCTGGTTGTTGGTCTGATGTTTGCTGTATGACACCCTATGAATTTCCGAAAGGACTAATAAATATCTATCACCTATAAACATGCACAGCTGATCCTGTTTCCGGGGGGCACCGCAAAAGTACTTCTTAAACGACGCATCGATGAATCGTTGAAATAATCTATAGAAACTTAAAATACTAAAATCATCATTAGCTGCAGCCCTAGGTCCCAGTACTTGTTGTTTCCCCCAGCCTTCTCCCTGAGCCTCAACCGATGCAGCTAGGCCGTGCCCACTGCCCATCCCTGGAGGTGGTCTGGTGAGTGCATCTATTGTGGTACGAGGGGTCACTTTATCAGGATTTTGGCCAAAGTCACGCAGGTAACCACCCCCATTGAGTTAATTTTGTCTTGCAATCACAGGGAGAAATTATCTTTTAAACTTATTTCGGCCCCCAACACCCCCCTTATTTTAGGTTATCCCTGGCTTAAGTGTCATAACCCGCATATTGACTGGTCAGCTGGCCAGATTGTAAGCTGGAGCCCTTTTTGCCTGTCCACCTGCTTGTTGTCTGCAGTTCCTCTCTCGGGAGGGGCGGGGGATAACTAGTCCCTGTAATCCAACTCCAGACCTACAGTTTAAGTGAAGTCTTTCGCAAAAATTTGTCTCTCTCTCTTCCTCCGCACCACCCCTATGACTGTGCTATAGACCTCCTCCAGGGCACCCCCTTGCCCAGGAGCCGCCTGTATAACCTGTCTCGCCCTGAGAGGGAAGCCATTACGGATTCTTTAAGAGCTGGTCTTATCCGCCCCTCATCCTCCCCTGTGGGCGCGGGCTTCTTTTTTGTTGCCAGGAAGGATAAAACTTCCTTGTATAGATTACCGTGGGTTGAACATCGTCTGTGAAGGTTCTCAGTCAACCAGGTCATAGTTATCCAACGAAGTAAACTGCTGAGTCATCAGAACCCTGCACCACAGGGCAGACCACATACCAACAAGTGCAGAAGCCAGAGAGAAGGAACAGAACCACCTGAAGGGGGCACTTACAGCCTGTGGATACCCTAAATGGACCTTTGAAGACCAACACAACAGGGGATGGGGAAAAGAAGATCAAACGCAACAACATTGTGATTCCATACGTGTCTGGAGTATCAGAGAAACTCAGGAGGATTTTCAACAAACACAACATCCCTGTGTTTTTTAAACCCAAGAACACGCTAAGAAAGATACTGGTACACCCCAAAGACCACACCCCCAAACACAAGAAAAGCAATCTTGTGTATGCAGTTCAGTGCAGTGAGGAATGCACAGACCTGTATATTGGGGAAACTAAACAACGCATGGCTCAACACAAAAGGGTTAAATCCTCAGGTCAAGACTCTGCAGTTTATTTACATCTGATGGATAAAGGACACTCGTTTGAGGACCACCAGGTGCACATTTTAGACCAAGAAGATGGATGGTTTGATAGATGTGTTAAGGAAGCATTTACACCCGGGCTGAGAAGCTGTCGCTGAACAGAGGAGGGGGTCTACGCCACCCCTGATCACCCACAATGCTGTCCTTTCATCACTTCCCAGGAAGTGCACTAGCTTTGTGGCTAATTTAGCAACGGGCAGCATGAACTGCTGTAACGTTACGTGATTGTAGAGAATATTTAGAAGTGATGAACTAGCGTCAAAGGTGGACCGTTTGCTAGAACTGATACGCTGTTTCAAAAATAAATGTACAATCAAGTTGGTCAGCAGCGTAGCTTCCAAAACCCAGCTACCGTAACATTTAACTGCTGAGAGCTGGTAGGAAGCTGGAAGAGGGGAGTGAAAAACGGGAGGGTTTGCAAGTCATGAATGTTTTCAGGAGAGGAGAAGTGATTGTGGCTGTTGTCATTATAATTATTAAAGTCATGTAATTAACATGACAAAAGACCGATTTACTGCTAACACAGCCCTCTGCATGTTTCTACATGCTGCGGGTAGGCTGGCAGACTGCGGTCAGCTGATTGTTTTCTTCTGTGTTTTTTGTGTTGAGGCAGTGTAGTAAACAGCGGCAGCGTGCCCTCTGGTGGGCAAACTATGCAACACCCATGACATGAGTGAAGGATCTGACTCTATGTTGCTTTTGTAATTGTCATATTTCTGCTGTTATAAACGGCCGATGCTGATTAAATGCAATTAGCTCATATCGGCCGATATTAGCGGCAGGCCAATAATATCGGTCAGCTCTAGTGAAGATACCAATGATGGTTGTTCAGACTTGGCCACAGGTGGCTCTAAAGACCATGACGACTGTTACCACAGCCACGAGCAATAACGAACCAGCGGTACAGACGATCCAAGCCAAAGATCCCACAGAGGTTAAATAGTTGAGTTTCCCTACCAGTCAGTCAGAACTGAAGAAGTGTCTAGTGTTTCAGTGGAAGCCTCTCAAAGGTTGGGTTTGTAGCATGTGGGATCCCACAAGGGTCATCACTAGGACCATTGCTTTTCTCTATCTTTACGAATGATCTCCCACTGGTTTGTAAAAGAGCATGTATGTCTATGTATGCGGATGATGTAACACTTTATATGCCTGCACCAGCTTTACAAAAAAATACTGCAGCTCTCAACAACGAGTTGCAGATGGTATTTAACTAGATTACTGATAATAAACTTGTACTGAATATAGCCAAGGCCAGAAGCATTGAACAAAGAGTTCAGAATAGAGCTGCTCATTTAGCCCTTTGTTGTCCAATAAGGGCTAATGTTGACAAAATGCACTGTAAACTCTTCTGGTTAAAGGTTGATGAGAGGTTAAAAGTATCACTTCTTGGCTTTATAAACAAAATGAATGTTTGGAAAACTCCTGACTGTCTGTATAGGCAACTTACTCTGAGTTCTAATGTACATACACACCCCACAAGGCATGCCATAATTGGTAAATATATTATTCCAAAATCCAAAACAAACTCAAAACAATGCACAGTGATGTATAGAGCTATGGCTCTTCCAGGTCATCTTGTTAAAACTCAAAATAATATTGGTTTTAAAAAACAAGTAAAGGAATGTCTGCTTATATTAGGAAATGATAAATGTTTTTTTTTCTTTGTATTCCTTGAAAATTTGCTGTTTGTGTTGTTTTATTATGTTGTATATTTGTTCTGTCAACTGGTTGTGTTTTTCTTGCAATTTCTTAATCTGTGTAGTGATTATGTAGTGTGTTTTTATTCTTGTTATGTGTTTTGTGTGGACCCCAGGAAGAGTAGCGGATGCATTTCTTTGCATCAGCTAATGGGGATCCTAATGAATCAAATCAAATCAAATCTAGGATGAGGGACGAAACGTCTTCTAGTTTTTTTTCCTACAAAGTCCAGTTGCCCTTGACCTCAACCTTTGTTGGAGAGCATCACCGTCTATAACAAGTACCCTTTACCGCTCATCAGCTCTGCCTCTGAACTCCTGCAAGGGGCCACTGTGTTCACCAAGTTGGATCTGCGCAACACGTACCATCTAGTCCGCATCAGGGTGGGGGATGAGTGGAAGACGGCATTTAACAACCCGCTCGGACATTCTGAATACCTGGTAATGCCTTTCCGCCTCACTAATGCACCTGCTGTCTCTTCCAGAACTTAGTTAATGATGTGCTGAGGGATTTTCTTAATTCTTAATGGGGGGGGGGGGGGTACTGTGGTGATCTGGCGACCCATCCTTCCCATTTTCTAGTGTGTCCTGTTTTTTCTCCATTCCCTGTGTGTCTGTTTGTCTACTGTCTGTCTCTGGTTATCGGCATGGCAACACACTGTCGGGCAGTGAAAGTCCCTGGACTTTCCTACACACCTGGAGTTCATCTACTCATCACCACCGACTGTTTATTTACCACTCGGGTGATCGTCCGTTCACCTGCGTAGTAAACCACTCGCCAGGCCAACCATCAGCTTAGTGTTTTTCTCTGCTCATTATACCTTCATCTAAACGTGTGTTTTTTGTCCCAGGGGATCACTGCTTGAGAAAGCCCTGCTCTACCGCCAGTTTTTGAAGTTGTGGATCTGCCTGCCCGCTCTCTGTCACTATGCACCGGAATCTACTACCATCTTTCTTTCAATAATTCTCTGTTATTTCACCCTAATCCTGTGTCTGCTCCTTGATTCTTATGCTACGCTCAACAGAAACATGTCAGAAAACCGACTTTGGCTTTACTGCTGAATGTCTTAATGGTATACTGTGTTTTTTCTGCATGCAAGCCTTTGACAATGAAAAATCTCATCTGGCCTAAACTAAACCAGTTATTTTCAAATTTGGTTTTAGCTTCAAAAGCTCTCTGAGCATGCTGAAAGGAATGGACACAAACATGCTGAAATGTATCATTGTCACCAGGCAAGACCAGTTGTTACCCAGTATACACACATTCTGTATGGGCATATGTAAGGTCTACCTTTATAGGCACCTTGTTTCAGCACAAAGATGAGACTGTTGCTATAGCAACTGTACCTGCTTCGTTTCCTTGTAGCATGGGGTATGTATGTTATCAGAGACACCCTTTTCATATCCAATGAGTTCAAGGACATGATAAATGAAGGGTCGAAGAGGTCGGCACACGTGCAATTCAACACTGCTTGGCACAGGCTGTCCGTATGTATACCTGATTAGAGGGACATTAACAGGAAAAATAAACATTGTGTTGTTGGAGAGGAGTCATTCACTCAACAAACTGGACCGATTTCAGATCATTTAAGAGTGTAATGAGTGAAAGGGCTTTTACTCACTTTGCACATACTTCAGCTTTGATTTCTACCTGCTCAATACTTACTTCATCAGACACATTTACTTTTATATCAAATTTCGGCAAAACTGGGGACAAAACATGATTGTTAGCATTCTTGTTTCATCATAAATGCATTGAAATGGAAGGTTTACATAAATAACTTACCATATTTCTCCACCTTGAAGCTGTGATGTAGTTTATTTTCACCAATTGACACAATGACATAGTAGGTTCCTTCACGGGCCTCAGAGTTCAGGGAGTAAGAAAGCTGCAGTATTTTACCATTTGACGTTTCATTCAGCCACTGCCCAATCCTGTTGTTGTTAGGATCCTGTGCAATACGGCAAATGGGAAGAACATGTATTTATGACAAAAACAGGATACTAATGTGAATACGGTGTGACAGTACACATGCCACACAGAAATACACTGCTAACCATGCAGCTCATTATACATTTATCTCCTTCAAAAAGATGGCAGATGAAACCGGGCCATTCATTTGGATAATGTAAAATGACTGACCTGTGTGGAAAACTCAAAGAAAGCTTGAAGCCAACACTTTGATATAGTGTTTTACACTAATCTAAAACAGATCCCGAACCATACTTCAGCAGGCTAATATTACTGTCTAGTTGAAATATTGATTTAATCTATATTCTTTTAAAAGTTTAATGTACTTTGACAAAAAACCTATAGGCTTTACACTAAAATGCTGATCTCACTGAAAGCTTAGGCTCTTCATGTGTATACAAGGTTAACATTCAATTTACATACAGAAAAAAAAAGAGCGTGGATTTTGTCTTACCATAATTTCGATGACATTATACTGCAAAAAAGAGAGACATTTGCTTAAAGACTGGTTGGTTTATATTGTTCTCATCACACAATGTCCTAACAAGTCTGGGTTAGACCTTATATCTTTGTTTTATCAATGACAATCAACAACTGATTAGGGATGAAACGGGTTTAATAATAAACTATGGTAAAATTCCACAGGGTTAGTATTACCGTACATATTTTGCTTACATGATAACATGTTCGAATGCAACGCTTTGAAAAACTCATGGTCAATACTGTCCAGCAACAACCAATGTTAGCCACAGTCTCCCAAAAGCAGGAGTGCATGTGCACCATGCAACATGGGTTTGTATGGGTCAATAACAACATGGTCGAAGACAGCATTGCAGAGATTTTTCAGCCTGTCTAAAGGCTGGTAGTATTTAGGTTTTTACAAGAGTGCTGAGGGAAACTTGATGGAAGAAAATTGCCTTATAGCGAATGCAGGGTGATTTAACTTTTAGCTGACAATGTTGCTACTCATGTATTATTAATTAAAATATTTTCAGTGGATAAGACACATGTCTTTGGTGTGAGAGACCCGGGTTCGAAATACACTGTGAGACACCAATGTGTCCCTGAGCAAGACACTGTGTGCTGTGTGCAACCTCTGACATAAATAGCAATTGTAAGTTGCTTTGGATTAAAGCGTCAGCTAAATGAACAAATGTAAATTTAAAATAAATAACACGTGCCCCTGACGGAGCTTGTTGTGGCCGCTGTGCAGTGGACGAAGGTTGTCCACGCTGCTCTGAATTATCACACGCTTTGGATGCCTCACAAAGATGATGATGATTGTCACACAGAGGTTGCTTCCTGTTGCGTAGGTTGCGCTATGACATTGCGTACATTTTGGCATGTAGATGTGTTTAGGGTATGACCCTTGTCAAATGTGAAGTTTCTAGATCATCTAGATAAAATGTGGCATGGGGGCTACGTCATTACATTGCACAGTGAAAATCTGAAGTCGTTTCGAGCATTTTTTCCCCCTTTTTTGGATAGAGAGAGGAAAAGGGGGGGAGAGATAGGAGGCGACACGCAGCAAAGGGCCACAGGCTGGATCTGAACCTGGGCCGCTGCAGTAAGGACTCAGTCTGTACATAGGGCGCGCTCTACCAACTGAGCCCCCTTTTCCAGAACGTTATAGCCCCAAAAAATTTGCTTCATTTGCAGAAAAAATTATTCCTTCAGTTTCAATAGGGTCCTCGCATGTTTCATGCTCGGGCTCTAAATATAATAAAAGTGTTCTTACAGGAGAAACGCTGTAGACTCCTGTACAAGACTACTCCGTCAGTTGTTGGGCTCATTGCAGTTACTATCACTGTCTTCGTAAGACTCATTTGTATTTATGTAATTGTGAATGCAGTCATAGCATTTACTTGTATAATAATATCTATAATTACACTGCATGCACAATCATTAGGCGAATTGTGGATTCATTTTATTGCTGAACAAACACAATGCTGTCAGTCAATCAAAAATATTTATTATAATAATATTTTTTTAAGTAAGTGTAACAACACAAAATGACAAATAAAATGTTTGGACTTTTATAAATACCTGATGATGATCATCGCGCCTTTTGTGCCCCAATTGACTATTCACAACAAAACATTTGATTGTCCAGTGGTCACACCTCAAAAGTTTAGCTATTTCAAGAGTGTTGCATCCGCCAAAAAGGCATTTTACAGTTTTTTACTTTTCAGCGTCAGTTAAATCTTTTTTTGGCCCATTTACCTGAAGGAATGTAGCTGCCTAATATTCATGCACAACTTTATATAAGGTGGGATCAACTTTTGCCACACCCTTCCTCATTCCACAAATACATATCCCCTGACAATAATTTACTCCAGTGAGCATTCAAGTTTCTATAGCTGCTTTCATACAGATATCCTGCAATAAACGCAGAAAGAATATCAATATTCTGCATTCGCTCATTCATACTGAACAAACGTTACTTTATTTGTGGTTTTCAATATAAAACTTGTTGAATGGGTGAATTGGTTTCAGTGTGTGTATCAGTACATTTTGTTTATTTACAGCACATTTTAAAATACCAAATAATTTTGGTCACTATAATTGTGATAAGAAATTATTTATACTGTTTCATCTTTACAATCCCGCTAAAATAGAGTTTTTCCTTAACAATGTCACTAAGTGCTTGCTCATGGTGTGAATTGTTATGTCTCTGTAAATAACAGTACAAAGAGTAGTTGAATGTTGCAAAATGAGAAACAATAGATTTGTTCTAACTTTACAGTTTACCTAGGGGCCCTGGTTGTATTATTGACAGAGAGCTTCACCAGAATCGATTAGAGACATACTGAGTATGGTCCGAAATTTACCTTAATTACAATAATACTAGCTATGATAAAAGATAGATAGATAAAAATAACAATAATGAAAGGCTACTGCAGTAGTCAAGAAATAACACGGGTAACTACAAAATCTGACAATATTTTCCTTGAGCCATTTGTTCCAAAGTGGATCATCTTAAATTATTGATGTGATATAAATGCAAGATTAACTGGGAGAATGACTCCTGAAATTGACGCGAGTAGATCAGCTATAGGGAAGACGTCTCACTCTGCTGGAGTTGTTGGGGGGTCAAAGTTGCTTTCTCTAAGTGCTATCCCGACCATAAAACTGGCACCTTTTTGATTCCGAAGCTGATAACGCGGGGCCTGACTTTTAAACTGAGAAAGGGACACGAACCAGCCATTGGCATCTCCCTGAACAGCCTATCAAAACTGGCCCCCCACACGTTTCCGTGGCAACTGACCTTATTCTTTGTTTTATTACCACATCAAAGGGATACTCCTTGTCTCGTCTAGGTGTGACACAATCCAGGACAGCCGAACTTTGAAAGGCTGAAGACTGCAGTCTCCAAAGACTCAAAGAATTTAATTAAGTTTAATTAAATCTTTAGTTACCTGTATTAAGTTTGCCTCTATTTGAGTAGTTATGTTAACTGTCGTTGCTATCTGTTGTTGATATTAGTGCTGAAAAGAAAGTTACTTGTGCAGTGTTTTTATTTTCAGCAAGACACTCCTTCATCTAATGTAATCCAAGCTTTCCTCATGTAACCTGAGCTCCCCCAAGTGGACGAAATAAGTATTACATGCCCTCGTTGGAAATGCCGTTAAATGTATAAATATCCTGACCAATAATGTGACAATTGTTTCCAAATGCCTAGAACAGTACAACCGTCTGACCATTGAGGTTCGATTGTGGAAAATATTTGATTATAATACGTGCAAATAGATTTCTTTTTAGACATTAAGTTTAGAAAGGCAGTCCCTTGGGAAACCTGAGACGCCCCCTGGGGAACCACGCCCCAGGCAACAAAAGAACGACATGCGACCTCGCTTCGCTCTCTTCTCTTCGCTGTTGGCTCTCTTCCACTCTGCTCGGCTCCCTGGACGCTTCGGCACGCGTGTGGCGTGCCTCGCCAGGCAGCGCCCTCAGAGTCGACCAGCGAGACCGGCCTTTTGTTCGCCTGAAGCTACACACCTGAAGTGCCGCGACATCGATCTGCCTTCAGTTTGTTTTATTTTCTTTATTTCTTTTGTTGGTTAAAGTTATCAGTCCGTTAAGTTACACTGGACTAATTCAGGAACGACCAAGTTCCATTTTAAGCCTTTTTCGTCGAACCAACTTCAGCGAGGTCAGACCAAGCCACGTGGTCTCGCCAGCTACAACGAAGGAAACCTGAAAACAGCCGAAAAGCCAGGATCGGCAGCTAGCGTGGGACCCATGCAACAGACCAAAAGCAGGCTGTCGACAAGCAGTAAGACTTAACACACGTTCTGTGATCAGATGTCCATTTTAACTCCTAAAATCATAGCATTAGTTTACTTTCATTAGCTCTTCTATGAGTCAAATGCTTCCCACAATCGAACCTCCAGGCTCATTGTTCAGAAATTGTTTATTTCCCTGTATCCAACCATCTTTTTATCACATTAGTTAGAGAATAAATTCACTGTAATATAATCAAGAGCTGCATGTGTTGCCTATTTCTAGTTCCTGCCAAGAGAATTGACCCTTTAGATATGAGACTGACTGACTGATTTAAGATAATTGAGCGATTATTAACTAAGTGATCACTAGTAATAATTTTATATTCATTAAAACTACCTAGAGGTCCGGAGACTCTAGGATTATAACAACTCCGGTGGTGCCCTTAACGAGGAACATTGATTTTATGAATCTTAAAAATTCATGATTGGGTATCAATTCTCATAAATTTATTAAAATGCATAACTAAAAATTTTTAGGTCTGCTACAGTCATCTCAAAATGAAATCTAAAAGAAAGGAAAGAGTTAAAACGCTCACCAGCTGTCTGGCAGGTCTGAACTTGGTATCCACTGAAATGACTCTGAAATGTACTGAGAGAAAGGAAGAGATTAAATGAAGCTTGTACAGCTAATCTGCAGGGTTAATCATCCTGACAGACAACTTAAAATAACTTCTGTCAACCCAGAAATAACAAAATTAGGTTACATCATTACTATCACTATGTTACATTGCTGCCTCTGTTGTTCATCTTGCATTCTTAAACATTGGAACGGTACTGTTTATTGTCACCTTAAACTGCATGTAGTGGGCGGAAAGTTGTTTCTTTCACAAAAAATGTTCAGTTGATTCTGGGCAATCTGCTTACTGTCTGTTGATATTCGGGGACACATTATTATTATGTCCAATGTCCATTTATAAGATAATGCGACCTTGTGGGAATGTGGCTTTCTATCTCATGTTGCACACACATCTGCAACTGTTTGTAAAGGTTAAACCCATCTTTATATGGTACCATATTGTTCCAACATCATAGATAATCAACTCAAGGTTACCTGTTTGTCCAGGGAGGTAGATCGGTTTATCTGTTTGGATGAATGTCATTGGTTGATAGACTTTGATCATGACTTTCCTGACTTCTTTTGAATAAAAATTATTACCTACTACCTCTACCTCCAACTTCTGCACCACGTCTTTCTGCACTAAAGGAACCTGCAACAGAAATATAAGGGAGAGCGTAACTCATTTTCAAACTATGTTATGGAAATGACTGAAAGTCCATCTCGAGAGCCGACCTTAAACTGAGTGCAGGTATGAAACGTTTCACTGGATGCCTTCTTCAGAAGCGTTGTATTCTGCTCTTGGGATATCAAAGTGACTGTCATGACCAGAGCCTCAGTGGGCTGCAGGAGACTCGCACAGAGTTTGGCCTCAGCTCCAACTTCAAGAACTGCAGGAATGGCCACCATGTACTGCCTGCAGACACAGACACACACATATGTAGGGACCTCAGGGGACTTCACAGATTAATTTGTTTATATTTGTGATCTACATCTTTGAGCTATTGAACTCAGTCGCCCAAACTGTTGAAGACATTCATTCCAATTTGTAAATTTAGCACACAGACCCACCTTTCAGCTATGATACTAGTCAGTGTGACCTTTGACCTATGACATCATTAAATCCCCAAATCCACAGCCCACCTTCTTATTTCTCCTTTGGTACACTCTCCACTGCAGCTGCAGACAGCAGCAGTCTCCAGCATGTCCTGCTTGGAGCAGACGTGCAGCTAAACAGAACAATGATCTTACAGCAGCAATACAAGTGCCTGCCTAAGACCTCTGCAACAAAGCAGCAAACTCTAAGGAGAACAGGAGGAGAGTCCTCCATCTGCACACAACACAGCAAAAGACTGCAACAGAAATACAACTCTTCCCTGCAAGCTAACAAGTATCACACCAAAGCAACATCTACGGCCTGGTCCCGGCAGAGAACAGCTTAATAGAGGACTTGGCTAATATAGTGAACAACGGTGTGGATTTGTGCATTTTACATTGAATAAATTTGGAGCTACCCTAAATTCCTTTCTCCTCCCCAGAGAAGATGGGGGGGGGGGGGGGGGGGGGTGAAAGTTGCTTTCTCTAAGTGCTATCCCGACCATAAAACTGGCACCTTTTTGATTCCGAAGCTGATAATGCGGGGCCTGACTGTTAAACTGACAAAGGGACACGAACCAGCCATTGGCATTTCCCTAAACAGCCTATCAAAACTGCCCCCCCACACACACACGTTTCCGTGGCAACTGACTTTATTCTTTTTCATCAAAAAGGAAAACCCCTGTCTCACCCAAGTGTGACATAGTCCAGACACTGAACTTTCAATGTAAAAAGACTGCAGTCTCCAAAGACTCAAAGCATTTAATTGAGTTAATTAAATCTTTAGTTACCTGATTATGTTTGCCTCTATTTGAGTAGTTATGTTAACTGTTGTTGCCATCTATTGTTGATATTAGTGCTGAAAAGAAAGTTACTTGTGCAGTGTTTTTATTTTCAGCAAGACACTCCTTCATCTAATGTAATCAATGCTTGTTCATAATACTTTCCTACAAAATTCCTTTAGAAATGATGACAAAGGAATGTTTTACTATACTCTTAATCGCCAGCTTTAAGGATGAATCAACAATATTCCCAGTTCCTAAAGAGAGACGATCTTTGATTTAATCCAAGCTTTCCTCATGTAACCTGAGCTCCCCCAAGTGGACAAAATAAGTATTACATGCCCTCATTGGAAATGCCGTTAAATGTATAAATATCCTGATCAATAATGTGACAATTGTTTCCTGTTACCAAATGCTTAGAACAGTACAACCGTTTGACCATTGAGGTTCAATTGTGGAAAATATTTGATTATAATACGCGCAAATAGATTTCTTTCTTTTAAACATTAAGTTTAGAAAGGCAGTCCCATGGGAAACCTGAGATGCCCCAGACTCCCCTGGGGAACCACGCCCCAGACAACAAAAGAACGACACGCGACCTTGCTTCGCTCTCTTCTCTACGCTCTCTTCTCTTCGCTGTTGGCTCTCTTCCACTCTGCTCTGCTCGCTGGACACTTCGGCATGCGCGTCCGGCGTGCCTTGCCAGGCAACGCTCAGACTCGGCCAGCGAGACTGGCCTTTTGTTCGCCTGAAGCTACACACCTGAAGTGCCGCGACATCGATCTGCCTTCAGTTTGTTTTATTTTCTTTATTTCTTTTGTTTGTTAAAGTTATCCGTCCGTTAAGTTACACTGGACTAATTCAGGAACGACCAAGTTCCATTTTAAGCCAGCTACAACGAAGGAAACCTGAAAACAGCCGAATGGCCAGACGGAGGAGGCGTTTTCAATCAGACACGGAGAACCCCGGAGAATCCCTAGCAAAAAGCCAGGATCGGCAGCTAGCGTGGGACCCGTGCAACAGGCCAAAAGCAGGCTGTCGACAAGCAGTAAGACTTAACACACGATCTGTGATCAGATGTCCGTTTTAACTCCTAAAATTATAGCATTAGTTTACTTTCATTAGCTCTTCTATGCCGTATGAGTCAAATGCTTCCCACAATCTAACCTCCAGGCTCATTGTTCAGCAAATATTTGTTCCCTGTATCCAACCATCTTTTTATCACCTTAGTTAGAGAATAAATTCACTGTAATATAATCAAGAGCTGTGTGTGTTGCCTATTTCTAGTTCCTGCCAAGAGAATTGACCCTTTAGATATGAGACTGACTGACTGATTTAAGATAATTGAGCGATTATTAACTAACTGATCACTAGTAATAATTGTATAATTATTCAAAACTACCTACAGGTCCGGAGACTCTAGGATTATAACAACTCCGGTGGTGCCCTTAACGAGGAAAATTTAGATTTTATGAATTCATAATTGGGTATCAGTTCTCATAAATGTATTAAAATGCATAACTAAAAGTTTTTAGGTCTGCTACACTAATAACAGGACTGTTTAGCTTTTGTTTAATGTTTGATGAGTTTATACTGTTTCACTGGTTAACATGAGGTTGTGTAATGTAGTCCTCTGCCACACTGCTAAATTGATGTTAGTTAACATTATGCCCCACACAGACACAGACTTTGCATGCAAGCTAACTAACTCTTTCTAACACAGATCAAAAAACATTTCTCTAAAGGCAAGATAAAGGCAAGAATCTCTGTTTGTGTGTCTGTGTGTATTATTTTTATGATGTCAAGAACCGTTCAACAAGCCTGTCCTCCACAGAAAAACAACAATATAGGTCGTTTTAGCCACTCAAATTTACGACTCATGTTTACGTTTATTGTGGCAGCGACCTCTAGTGGCCGTACAACACAAAAACATGACAAAGCTGTGACGCATTATAAATAGCAGCACAGCACACTCAGTCACCAGTGGCTTAGCATGAGTTTTGTTTTTGTTTTCAGATGAGCCTCTGGAACGCAATTTCAAAACACACACACCTAAATTCTCACGGTCACAGGGCTACAAATTCATCAGGGGTGAAAAAGGTGACAAATAATAATTCAAGTGAGCAGAGGGCTAAACTGGAAGTGAAGCCGGCTCACTGGCAGAAGTCAACATAGTGGAACACTGGCTAGCGTTTTGAAAAAATTGTTGTGGATATACTGTACATGCTGGTTTCTTTAATGTTGCATAACAGTGAATATATCGCCAACCTCTTCTATGTAGAACTGTTGTTAATTTAATTATATTTAATCCAGTTCCAAATTGATAGTCTAGTAGCCCCTAGTTATAAGATAGTAATTATTATTATTCTGTTATTTAATATAAATGTCAATGATATTTAAACTCTAATTCCCAACACACAGAGTAGATACCTCACTGGATCTCATATGGAAGAAACTCCAATCCAGACAATTACGCAGCAAAAAAATCATTATCCAAGATGTATATAAACTGGTTAAAACTAAATTACACACAGACACCTACTATAAACTTACGGTCTTGCCACTGCTTGACCAACACACATCCAGCACAGGACGCACAACGTCCATGTCCACATCTGAATCCCAGGACGACCCATGACTGACTGACATGAGCCTCAGTCAGCATCTGTTAAATAGCCTCTGATACCATCCACCTCCGCGTTATACACACACGGACTCACTCATCATGCAACCCCTCTATTTGACTTCAAGATGTTTCATTTATTGTATAAAGCTGACTGAAAGCAATTAAAACCCAAATGCATTCACCAACTACTTTGCTACTGTCAGTGGTTGGACACATAAAAGTAGGAGCTGTAGCATCTCTCTGGCACAGTCTCAAAGAAAATAAACATTATAAGTTTATCAAGCAGATGTAAGTATTCTAGAGCTATTTAATTATATTATAAAGTTGTTTGTATTGTACTTTATCTCTGATTCTAGGTTATTTCTAGTTTCTTATTTTGTTCACATTCCTTCCATGGTATCAGTGTTACTGTAAGTTGAGTTTACATTTGAGTTCTGCAACATTGCCCTTTACCCAGCGTTGGATGTTTGATTTTGTCCTGCAAACAGCTCTTAACAGGATTACTAAGGGCCAAAGTAGACCATTTTTTCCAATAAGTAAACCTTTGTTAACTGATTAAACACTGCTCATGGTTTACCACAGAGTAAGAAATGTGCTTCCTGTTTAAAATGGTGCAACAAGAAAACTGTTGAAATTAACCTCCCAAACTATTGTATGTATAAGATTTTATAAAATGTAGGCATTGTATGCCTACATTTTATAAAGTCAACGTATTGTACTTTTATGCAAATAATGCTTTTGAAGCATGAAAGCTGCATGCAGTGAATCAAAGTAGCTGGAACTACACAGCAGCATCAAAAGAATTTGCGTTGATGCATTTCACAGGGGGAAGAAAGATGGCGCCTGTATGGCGTGGCCGCTGAATCATCATCCTCAGCACTGCTCCATTGAATATAGTTTATTACTGTGTACCATCTTTATAATTGCTTTTATATCAGTGTATATTGTCTGCTATGTAGCATAAGGGAGTTACATTCTCAATTTCACTATATAACCTGTTTTGTTACAAATTAAATCTACCTACCTACCAGCACTCCCCTTTAAGGACAATGTCCAAATCAGCATTCCTTACATTACCTCATGTGTTTTAGTTTTGAAGGATATTTTTACTCATAATTCAAATGAGTCCAAATAGAAAAAGAAAACGGATCAAATAACATTAGCGATTAGCTATTTCAATTCAATATTTTGAAACATATTAGAACTGCTGTAGAATCTATTCACATATTTATAAGTGAATAGATATGTTTATAGATATAGTTATCCAACAAAGGTTAAAGTCAAGGTCAACTGGACTTGGACTATGACCTGGGCCCTCTTCAGGTGTTTCTGTTCCTTCTCTCTGGCTTGGGCGCTTGTTGGTATGTTTTCCGCTCTGTGGTGCAGTGTTCTCATGACCCCTAGCTTGTGCTCCAGTGGGTGGTGTGAATCGAAGAGCAGGTATTGGTCTGTGTGTGGGTTTCCTGTAAACACCACTCTGCAGGCTCCTGTCCTCTTCAATGTGTACAGCGCAGTCCAGGAAGGCCAAACTGTTGTTGTGAACATCTTCTCGTGTGAACTTGATGTTACTGTACACAGAGTTGATGTGTTCTGTGAAGGCTTGCTCTTCCTGGCTTTTAATTTTGACCCAGGTGTCGTTCACATATCTGTACCAGTGGCTCGGTGCTGTTCCTCTAAAGGAGTTGAGGGCTTTATTCTCCACTTCTTCCGTGTAGATGTTTGTCACAATTGGGGATACTGGTGAGCCCATGGCACAGCCATGCTTCTGTCTATTGAATCCACCGTTGTTGTGGAAGCAGGTGGTGTTTAGACAGAGGTCGAGTAATTTACAGATCTGGTCAGGGCTAAGGCTAATTCTGTTTTCCAGGGTGTTGTCTTGTGTTAGCCGTTTCCTAACGGTTTCTACTGCCTCTATGGTGGGGATGCAGGTGAACAAAGAAGTCACGTCATAGGATACCATGGTTTCATCTGGATCCAGTTTTAGTCCTCGAACTTTGTTTACAAAGTCAATAGAGTTTTGGACGTGGTGACGCGTGTTTCCCACCAAAGGAGCTAAGATGGTAGAAATGTGTTTGGCAATGTTGTAGGTGTAGGTTAATGCTGCTGATAATCGGCCTGAGTGGGGCTCCTTCTTTGTGTATCTTGGGTAGTCCATAAATACATGGAATGGCTTCTCCAGGATACAAACTGTAATATTGTTCACTGGTGATGGTGTTGTCCTTCTGTAACTGTTGTAGACATTCTATGGCCTTTTTCTTGTATCCGCTGGTTGGGTCTCGTCTCAGTGTCTCATACGTGTTTGTGTCCATTAGTAGTGTGTTGACCTTATTCTGGTAGTCCGCTGTGTTAAGGACTACCGTGGATCTTCCTTTGTCAGCAGGTAGGATAGTGATGTTTTGATCCTTGCTCAGAGATGTCACAGCCTTCCTTTCTTGGATGGTGAGGTTGTAAGGGGGGGCCTTCGCATTAGAAAGGGCTGCAGATACCTTTAGTCTGAGCTGTTCCGCTTCTGTTTCTGTTAATTTGTTTTTCCTAATGGCCGATTCTGTGGCTGTGATGAGGTCTACTATAGGTAGTTGCTGTGGTGTAATGGCAAAGTTTAATCCTTTGGCCAGAACGTCTTTCTCTGGTTGGGTGAGTTCCCTATCTCACAAGTTTTTCACCCATCTGTTGTATGTTTCATGTGTTGTGGGGTTGTTGTCATCAATCAATGGCGCTGCAAGGAGCATATGTATAAAATGCTATATACTGTATATATTATGTAACCCCTGTGTTTGAGTTAAAAGGTGAATAGCAGCATACAAGTGTTTTCATTTAAGGCTCTGTCACTTTAAGAGGGTAACCTCTGACCCTGAGCTGTGACAGACTGTGATGTTTATTTTAGGAGAGGCCTCTGATTCATCCATGTAGATGGCAATCACGTTTCTAAAATTGTGACTGGTTAAGGGGCGGGACTAACAGGCAGAGCGGATCGGAGTACACTGGTGTTGTGCCGAATGTGTGTGTTTCCTTTGCAGGTAGCAACAAGCTGCAGAAGAAAGAAAAGTGTAGTTTAATTAATGTACAGAGACAGTTAGTAACCTGGCTAGTTTATAATAAGTTTGTCACACTGCAACACAGTTTTGTGTATTGTACTGTGTGTGAGAGTTAATAGTCTGCAGACAGCAACAGGTTAGCACCATCGCTAACTGCAAGCTAAGCGTACGAACACTGGAGCCCCTGACAGCGCCGTGTGTGACCGGCTGTTAACGTTTTGCTTCGAGGGAGACCGTCCTGTGCCTGTTTTCATTTTCATCTTTCTGAGAGGATTGCAAAACGTGAGAACAGCGGGAGTCATCTGGACGATGCTGTGAAACTGGGCTCAACGTTACATAGAGCAACAGGCGCTCCAGTGAGCAGCACAATAAACACTGCGGGGGCACAACGGGTTAGCGGACTGTCTGAAAAACTTCAGAGTCACCCAGAAGTTTGCCCAGAGGAAAAACCACTGCCTTTCTGTGGTAAGTGAAAGCATCTTTTATCATCCTGACTCTGCTGCTGGTCCCTGCATGGGCAAATTGTTGTGCTGGATCGGTTGAGACTAGGCTACGGATTACGGTTGTTGTCAAAATGTTGTTGTCATATAGCCACTTTCATAGTGGTTTATTATTCGGGATTATTAGGCCAATATGTTGGCTTGCTGCGCTGTATGTAAGGTATGGAGCTGGGAATAGGATATATATTGGTGGACATTCTTTCCATTATGATTGCAGGATCTCTGGATCCCTAAAACGTTGTCTGTGCGTGTCGTTGTTGACTTCAGCGGTGTTGAGCTCACTGCTGTTTGCTTAAGAGGTTTAAGGTTTGTGACAGTGATACTGTAACTTATGTAAAGAAACTCTCTCTCGCTGTGTTTTGTGGAGCCATGCTGTTTGTTGACATGTTAAAAATCACAGTAGCAAGAGAGAGTATGGTAGCTTTACTGGTATCTATGTTTTGAAATGGTTGGTGCCCCACTATTTTTACATATAAATATGACACTGGTCAAATCGGTGGTTAAAAAGTGGGATATTTCAAGAATAACTATCGTAGTTGTTTGTAACATGAATGAATAGTATGTTAATAAATAATTAAACAACTCTATACAGACTAGGGTTGACCCCCAATAGTCAAAGATTCGATGCTTGGATGGGCGGAGCGTGATTCGACTGTGAGATTGACAGCTTCACAGCGAAACGAAAGGATCATGCCATTTTGGCGATTTGGGGGTGCTCAACGTCGTTTTTCCCAATAAGTTAATATACAGCCTATTAAAATATACATTTCAATGTTTAATGCTGTAAATAAACATGTAAAAAGAATAAAACTTTCAATAAATGTTTTTAAAAGCATGTAAATAAAGCCAAAATTGTAACCCTAACCATGGGTCGTCAGTGCGCATGTGTAAGCGTAGCGTGTGTGTGGTGGCGGAAGAGGAACACTCGCTGAAGAGACAGAGCCTCGGCTTTATTGGTGTTGTGCCGAGTTGTCCGCACCTTGTGGGACAGGGATAATTTATCACCGTAGATGAACCACACAAAGAATATTTTATCGTTTTTCAATAGCCAGCTACTTGAAATAGACCCGCGAGGAACCACGACGTACATGTAGTTGTTGGCATGCATGCAAAACTCACACAAGACCGGTGAATGACAGGCGAGAGAGAGAAAAGGGTCTTCAAAAAGTCTCAGTTTAGTTAGAAATTTACAGTGTAATTTGAATGAATAGAGACTGCAGCTCTGCAGCTTCTCAAGATTAAAGTGGAGCTACCTTGTGTAATTCAGTCTGTGATTCTATAACTCATATTTTTACGTAGTTTTCAACTAGTCTATATAGTGCATAATAGAATTTATGGCTTTTGGTTTAGTGTGCCACCCCAGGATTTTCAGTGGCCCCATCTGGCCACCCCTAGGAAAATTTTCTGGGGGCGCCACTGATCACCTCAATAGTGGGAATTTTTAGGCATCCTTATTACGATTATGTGGGCTATGATGCGATTGTAAAACGAATAGGATAAAGATGTATTTATTTATTTATATTGGTACTTTTAAAGCAAAGTATTTGT